TTCAAGAGGGGCATCTTGGCCGAATCCAAGTTTCAAGTTGGGGCATCTTGGCCGAATCCAGGTTTCAAATTGGGTCCAAGAGGGACATCTTGGCCGAATCCAGGTTTCAATTTAGGCCCAGGAGGGGCATCTGGGCATCTTGGCCGAATCCAGATTTCAAGTTGGGCCCAAGAGGGGCATCTTGGCCGAATCCAGGTTTCAAATTGGGCCCAAGAGGGGCATCTTGGCCGAATCTTGGCCGAATCCAGATTTCAAGTTGGGCCCAAGAAGGGCAACTTGGCCGAATCCAGGTTTCAAGTTGGGCCCAAAAGGGACATCTTGGCCGAATCCAGGTTTCAAATTGGGCCCAAGAGGGGCATCTTGGCCGAATCCAGGTTTCAAGTTGGGCCCAAGAGCAGCATCGTGGCATCTTGGCCGAATCCAGGTTTCAAGTTGGGCCCAAGAGGGGCATCTTGGCCGAATCCAGGTTTCAAGTTGGGCCCAAGAGGGGCATCTTGGCCGAATCCAGGTTTCAAGTTGGGCCCGCAGACGTTTTACGATAGTTAACTGGGCCAAACTCGACGCGAGAATCGTTGAGTCGGGTTTCCCACCAGCTGTGGCCCTTTTGGTCATGCAAGCGTACAGAGGTACGAGATACCTTGTGGCGGAGGACCTCCTCTGGGAGGGGATCCTCCCAGCCAGGCGTATCCTAGCGGGCTGCCCTTTCGCGACGATGATGGCGCGGGTATACCTGAAACCAATAATGCAAGAAGCCGCAGAGCTTCGATGCATCACAGCCCTAGATACGTGGGTAGATGACGTTGGAGCGGATTTCGAAGCGCAATATCCAGAGCAGGCTGCATTTGCGGTTTATGAAGGTTACAAAACCCTTCGAAAGCTTCTGGAGGGGAGTGACCTCCGCCTGTCCCTCAGAAAGACGGGCCCCCAAAGCCCCTTAGATACACCAAAGACGGCCCCTACACTCCCTGGTTTGGGGTTTAGGGTTGAGGATCGCGCCGCCCCGCTCCCGCCCCCCCCCCCCCGCTTTTTTTAAGCCCTGCATTTGCTTCAAATCATATGAATCTTTTTTTGCATATAGACAAAATAAAGTCGTGCAATGGACATAGAGAGAAAGGTTTGTTGTCCCGTGTAAACAGACACCAAAAAGACCTTTGTAAATATCGAGAAAATCATGGTTTTTCTATGTGAAAATAGCGAAAATAAGTGTTTCCCTACGGAAATATTTACAAGATGTAGTTTTTTCCTATGGAAATATACAGAACTGCTTGACCCTCCCCCACCACCCCCACCCCCACAACACAACCCCCCCCCCAAAAAAAAAAAAAAAGAGAGACAAGAATAAAGAGTCATCGTCTACATGGGACATTGAAAACATGCTGTTGGGATGGTGTTTTCTTTAGTGCTTGTTGGGCTCGCTGGGGTCAAGCAAGTCCCAACGTCAAGCCCTGAACTTCCTAACGGCCTTTTCAGTACGGACTAAGCTCAACCTCTTTATACCGGGCGGGAGCGAGGGGCCTATATGTTATTGCCGAACTCCCGTCCCGTCCGTCCCCGTCCCGTCCCGTCCCGTCCCATCCCGTCCCGTCCAAAGGTCGCTCAGGTTCTCCATAGCGCCTCGGAACTGAACTGAAACTATTTTTTGCACAGCCTTGCCCCACCCTAAACCCTAAACTCGTGTTACAGAAACTCTGTGACTCACCGAGGCCGCTGCTGAAGGCCCCACCGAAGAGGAGCCAGGATCCGGAGGCGGAGTCGTAGGCCGCGGCGTGCTGTTCCCGCCTTGGGGGCCGGGGAGCCTCCGGCCGGAGCTGCACCCAGCGCCGGGCCTCGCGCGCGGGCATTTCAAAGGCCTTAAGTGGGTGCTGGGAGGGGAGGGGAGGGGCTGGAAGCTGCCACGATGCAGGTAGTGCAGGTGAGAATGGCTTCACTGCTACCAGCAGTGGCTGGTATCTTCGGATAGGGTTGTGCTTTTTTGCAAGGCCTCTTGCCTTTCCTGCTAATAGTACAACTTGAGGGCACATTCTTTGAGCAGGTGTCCTTTGCATTCCTTTGCAGAGTGTACTTGATTTGCAATGTGTTAAGTCGGTACGCTCTTTCACCTGCAGTGAATGCTTTGTCGGAAAAACCTTGCCCAAAGACTGAGTTGGATCATGTTGCGCTTCTGGTTTTGAATACCGGCTTTTGGCATTTGGGGACAAAGAATGCGTTTGGCTTGTGGGGAACCTAGGATTTGCTCGGACCCACAACAAGATGGACCGCACGGGCACCTGCAAGGTTTTGCCACGACTACTTGGAGGTTCGTGGGGTACTTGTTAAGCAGTTATACCTGTACTTATCACCCATGTTCTAAGCCCTTAAGTGCCCCAATATGGTTCTAAGTACAGTTATAAGTGCAGTTACACTTGGTGAATAAGTACCATGAACCTCCAAGGGGAGGGGGGAGGGAACCCGGATCTTTCAACGGAGGTCTCCCACAGTCCTGCGGCAAATGGTCCCAGCTCCTGGAGGTCTCATGGAATACTGGGCTTTGGCCTTGTGGGTTCCGGTTTCTGTCTCGGGAGCAAGCATCCAGATCGGCTGAAAGCACGTGATGCTACGTGATGCTCCTTACTCCGCAAACGGGCAAACGACCCGTCATCGACGCAAGCATGCAGAATTCACGCGCAACCGCCATGCCATTTAGTGAAGATAGCCGGAGGCGAGTTCTGCGGCTTAGGAATGGTAGTAGAAAAGAGGGTTCTCTTCAAAGCAGGCTGGCGTTCGGGCGACCAAGATGCGTCAGGACGTCCTGTCTTCAAGGCTCGCCCAGCAGATGCCAGAACAACCCCCACCTCCCTGTTGTGCTTAGGCTTGGTCCGACGCCGCCAAGAGTTGCTGCTAGGTTCATGCCAAACACAAGCCAAACACAACATACAGAATCACACAGAGGCCGCCCCATTCCATCCAGAGTTCTCCCAGGCACTCTCCCTGCGCACGCCTCGAGGTCAAAAGTCCAGAGGTCACCCAAGGTGCCGTCTCCACCTCGGCATCGCAGAGGATGCGGGGCTTCGGCAAGCTACTACTTTTTGCAGCGTAAAACCTCTCGGGCTGGGCCCACGGACCGTCGTAACCGCCGAAGACCAGCAGCTGCCCGGCGGCGCAGGCGGACGTGTGGTTAGCCCGCCCTCGAGGCCCCTCTGCAGCCTGGATCTCCTCCCAGTGCTGGGCCTTTTCAGGAACACGGAAGAGTGTAAGATAGTGTAAACTGACACTGCTGGGAACTCCATCCTGTGTAAGGGACCGAGGAACTGCTTTGAGACCTCCGGGCCTCCAGGTCCAAAGACCAGAGGTCGCTGAAATAGTCGTCGTGCTTGGTTTCGCCTCGAGCATTCGGGGCACACACCCAGGATGCCCCCGACCACTTGACTTCCCGGCTCCACACCAAAACAATATGCTGAAAGGCTTTCCTTCTCAGGGACTTGGGTTCAGGCAAGAGCCCCTGAATCATGTCAAGATTTTTTCCAGAAGGCTGCTGTGAATGATCTGCCTTCTTCGTTTCCTGTTGCTGTTGTAAGTTATGTATTTTTGTTTCATCATCTCTCGATTTGGGCGGCTCATGCGTTTCCACCTCAAGTACTCATTCCTCCTCATCTTCTCTCATTTTTGGGGCTCGGTTCCTCCAATGGTTCATATCATAAATCCGTTTTGTTGTTGATGTTCTTCGGGATCGTCACAGAACCGGCCTGACGAGATGATAAACACCTTATGCAAAGACTTCTGCAGGGTGCACTTGGAAAACTCAACTCGGCCAAGCAATGGTGCGTTATGATTCTCAGCCCCCTCAAGAGCCAAAATCCTTACCCCTTCCCCTTCACCACTTTCTCTGCCCCGGGCCTCCGAAAAGCAGCATAACGTGGGCTGCTTCTTCCTTGGAACGAAATGAACCCTAAAAGGGTTTATGGCTCATATACCTTATAGTAGTATCGGGTATATAACCCCAATTTTAGGGTTTATTTGCTCCCCAAGGTTCGTAACTAGCCGAATGCCCGTACCTGGCTGCCGGCCGCCGGCCGCCTGGCCGCAGCTTCACCCAGCACTCGGCCTCTGGCGGGGCAAAAAAAGCTGTACACGCAGGGTACCACGGAAGCGGTATGTGTCCAGAATGTTACTGCGACTTGGAGGCTCCTTTTTTGCAAACAAAGGGAGCAACTCAAGGGTGCTGACATTGTTTTGGCATGCTCTTGAGAAGGGCTGCTCTGGCAGCATCAGGAACGGCGATCTGCCAAGAATCGGTGACTGCGCGTCCACAATTCTGCTTTCCCCCTAATCTTCAATAGGGTCCTGAACCCCTAAACCCTAAACCCTAAATCGGTTAAGCTGGGCCCTAGACCCTCAACCAGCCCCCAACCCGGCCTTCGGACAGGTAGCAGTAAGATATCAAGAAAGACAGTTTCTTTGTAACGAAGAAAAGAATCATTCAAAAAAGTGAGAAGGAATTGTTGCGAATGTGCTGAGCACGGAGCGGCCGAACGTGCGAAATCAGGTGGCGCAATAATTACACACCACTCCCGCAAGTAGCTGATGCGCTCGGGCGCATGTAGCAAGAGAGGCATTTCGGATGCAAATGTAGTTCGAACTTGATTTCTTCGCACTGTTTTGTCGCATTCCGGCTCCTAACGGGGGGTCTGCGCGCATAATTCAAGAAAAGGAAAAAGGAGGAGTCTTGCACTGCGTCAAATCTCACGAACTTCGTTTCTGCACATGTCCCTAACAACCGACCTAAGAACAAGTTCTGATGTTGTTCAACGACCTGGCTCGAACGAACTATGATGGTGTGTCTCGGCCATGTAACGTGAATTTGAGCCCAGGCACCACGCAATGCCTGAGAGCCTGCTGCCCAATCCGCGACAGTGACATCAAACAAGCAGAGGGTCTGCTTTGGCCAGCTGTGTGCGGCTGGGTTTTAGGCTTCCGTGTCTTGTGTTGCGTAGTGAAATCCGGATGTCGGTGCTTCATTCTGCTTTTTTCTTTGAAAGAAGACTTGGCTACAAGATGCAACCGCAAAAAATTCCTTCAAGGCTGCAAGCCCGCAGACCGTAAAGAGAACCCTTAACAAATACTACTAAGCACCGCGCCTGGAGCTCCAAGACGAACAAATCATCCAGTTAATCTTCACCTCGGAAAATGGGACTTTCCCTGCCCTCTCGGCCCTCTCGGACTTGGAGACCTGAGGCCCGCGCTTCCGCCGTCGCCTGCAGAGCTTTGGGGCTGCAAAAAGCATTTACTTAGCAGGGAATGAGGGAATCAGGGCCCTATATATTATATTATACCCTCTAAGGGATTACCGTGTTCCCTCACAAACCAACGGTAAGAAACAGGGACGGGCAGCCGGCCTCCGAAGAGCACCATCCTCTGGGCCTTGGGGTCGAAGATCGCGGTGTGCCGGTATCTTTTCCGAGGGAGGTCGCCGTCTGGTCGCAGCTCCAACGTCGCTCCTCCCAGGCAGACGTGCGGGCGTCCCATCTATGACGCTTCACCCCCCTCGGTATGCCGCTCCGCTACTCCGCTGCGCGCCTCCAGGCTAAAGAACCAGGTGTCGTTTCGACCTCGGCGCTCCCAAAGCCCATTTTTCTCTCTCTGCCCAGCTGCCCGGCCGGCTGAGTCTCCCAAGCTGCCTAGTGAGGCGCCAACATTGTGAGAGCGGACACAGAACCCAAGAACAAGGGTAACGACTCTTCAGCACTGTTCTCGAGCAGATGTGCCAGGACCCCCAAAATGCAGCTGGCTTAACAGGACCCTCCTATCTTCTTAATCTTCTTCCCTTAGCCCGGTCCTTCTCTCGGCTTTGCTATGTATGGGACACCGAAAACCCTCAAATGTAGTTGCACCTTGCACCTGCTTGACACGTCTCGCTTGGAGGCGGCCCGAAACACATGTGAAATCTTTCGTTTGTTCCTGTTGTGTGAAGCGGGGACTGAAGGAGAGGCGTCTCGGATATTCCCAGACACATGTCAAGCGCCCTCTCTCTCTCTCTCTCCCTCTCTCTCCGACACAGGTTGATCACGGCGCGTAACCATGCTGTTGCGAGCCCTCCCACCTCTGCACAAAAAAACCCTCTAGAACAGAACAGCTATAGTGTCTGTCACTGTCCGACCCCCTTTTCTTGGGTTGTGGGGGGGGGGGGTTCGGGGTCGACCTGGGCGGGCAGAGTCAAGCCCCAGAGCCCATCGACGGCTCTTTCGGGGGTTCAGAGCCTTCAGGTGTACGGTCGAGGAAGCTATAGCATGATCCAGCCCTCTGGAGGCGCGGTCACGCTGCGCGCATCTGTGCGGGGGGCTCAGGCAACTCTCCAGGGCAGCTCTCAGGGCCCAGCAATCTGCGTCGGAGCCCCCGAAGATGACCATGGCATGGGCCGCCGAGTCAAGGATGGTGGAGTGGCCGTACCGCGCTGAGGGCCAGGAGGGCCAAGGCCCGTTGTTTTTTGGCCCGCTGGCCTGGCCCAGCACCGCCCACTCCTTCGCCTGCTGTTCTTTGTTTCAGGGGTACAAGAGGGAGAGCAAGGGGGATGTAAAGTATCGGGGCTCTCTGTGGAGACGCAGGCAGCCGAAGCGGATCCCGGGCCTCGAGGCTGAAGGCCCGGACGTCGTTGAACATTCCGCCAGCCCCTAGAGCCGACGCAGGCACTACAGGAGAAAAAAGGAGAAAAGGAGAAAAAGAAAGGCGGAGGAGGAGAGGAGTGGAGTGTGAGTAGAGGCTCTCCGAGGCTTCGGCTGTCGATGCCGCCGAAGATGATGAGGCTCCGCGAGGCCACGTCGACGACGGCGCTGTGCTGGTACCGCTTCCGCGGCCGCTGCGTGCCCTCCAGGGGCTTGACGAGCTCCCACCGAGCCTCCCGCGTGCTTTTGGAGGAATTCGGGGCATCTCCCAGCAATCCTTCCCAGCTTGGCCTCCATCAGGAAGACGCCGAGCCTGCACCTTCAGTCACGGGCCGTCCTGCGAGCTGCGGGGCCTCGGGGCGCAGCTGCCGCTCACAATTCTTCCGTGCTGTCATTGAGACATGTTGAGAGGGTCTGCTGGTGGGAAGGTCGGGCAGGCGCAACTTCCCTTTGCACGACGATGCCCACTACCAGAAGAACCCTCTCTCTGCAGGTGCACTGTGCATCACCGCCCTCTTCGCTTCAAGTTCGATCTGTCGATCTGTGGCTCCGTGCTGGGATTGTGAGCCGTCCACGCGCATGGACGTTGCATGCTCATGGCCCGCATGCGCGGCGTGCGAAAGAACATATAAATATATACATATACATTATACATATATGTTTCTTTATATTGACATTGTTGTATTTGCATTTTACTGTATGTACTCAAGACATGTATGCATGACTGCGCGGCTCTCCCAACCTGATATCGCGCCGGGCCCGCAGGCTCCGCACTCAGACAACATGCAATCAACATGAGACACGAGACTGCCAAATCCGCGCGCTCTCCCTGGATTCCGGGACCGCAACCAAGAACAAGGTGCTTTCCTTCTTTTGCGGAAGTATGACTATTGAAGGCCTGCGCAGAAGGTTACACCGACTTCTGGCCAACTTGTAAGGCTCCCCACATGCACCGCGAAAGCTGAGCAAGAATGTGGGAGGCTGTTCGGGAGGCTCAGATCCAGTGTGCGGAAAAAAACATGAAGAGGCAACTTTTTGCGACGCGTCTTCTGCTCCATTCCGGCGATGTGCATCGCGCGTCTTGCGCGCATGCGGCCAACGGCCGATCAGGTGCAATTGTTCCACGCACACCCTTGCAGTTACACAATGCTACATATTCGTTTGGTAGGCCACGGATCTGTGCATCTTTGGCAATTCGCTTGGCGAACGCTGCAACAGGCGAAGCCCAATTGCGTCTCGAAAGTGTCCTTGTCATGCTTCTGCAAGCTTATCAATGCCCTATGAACTCCATCTCCACCTGGATCCATGGCGTCGGTGTACTCTCTCAGGTTGCCGTTTTCGTTTGCTATAATGGTATACTGCTGGACACTGCGCTGCTTCCAAGCGCTGTCAGGCTGGCGTGGTCACGGGCTTCGCCGCTTCACCTGCAACAAAACGATGCAGCAAGCCCGAAAAAAACCCACAAAAGATCTAAAAGATCCAAGCCGTTGGCTGCCACTAGTTACAGCACATCCGGCACGAACAAGTGGCACCTCACAAGGGCCTTAATTACTGTTGTCGCGCATGTTCTTCATCCGCGGACGGGACCTTGCAAAGGCTCGGACTGCGCTGCACAACCGACGCTTTTTTGGCCAAACATGCTTCCGGTCCGAGGGGCTTCATCGAAGGCTGCATCTCGCGCCATCTCGCGCAGGCGCGCCAAGCGCATCCAGCCGCCGAGGGCCACGTTGCCGGTGTCGATTTCCTGGAGCGTGGACACTCGTGGAGAATGTGGACCTATTGTATCGTAGACCAGCTTCGCTCCTCGGAACTGGCTGCAGGGGAGTGCTTGGCCTGGACACAGGCCGTTGTCATGCTTGTGTTCCTACGTCACCTTTTTTTCCGGCATTGCACAGCCCTTGCCGAGCACACGGTATAAGCAGTCAGCGTTATCGCACGGCTGCACGGCTGCAATGTTGCAAAGAAGCAAACTATGGCTGTTCCTCGCAAAAGAAGGGGGCCCACCATCGGAAACTTGAGAGGCTTCCTACGTCTGAAGCTGCGGCAGTGGCAGCTTCAAGCTCAGTAGGCGGCCCACTCTCCGCAACTGGCACTGCGCCCGCCAAAACCAAAATGCCTGATCTGCCCTTGCAGACATGCCAGCGTCTCCGGACGTGGGCTTCCACAATTAATCCGTTCAATCTCACTGCAATCACCCGAAAGCGAAAGTTTGGGCAGACTCGGAATATTGCGCACTAACTGGCATGAGGTTTGCTTCTATGGTCATGGCCCCATGGCAATACAGTACGACAGGAGACGCTGTCTTCAGCACGGGCCTCCTCTGCCTTCTCTGTGCCCTGCTTCTTCAAGTGCTCGAACTCGGCCTTGAGCGTGGCGAGCTCCTGCTTAGGTTCTTCTGCGCAGTCTATTGCAACCGAGGGGGCCAAGTAACAACGATATCTCATCCGTACTGTGCTGATGCAGCGGTTATCAGATAATATTCTGTATACCATTGTCACAACTGCATCGCAGTGCGGCTTCACCAAAGCAAGATGCTATGCCCCTTTACTGCCCCTTTGTACGCGTGAAGGGCGATATAGGGTCCCTCGGATTCAACACAATGAGGTGCACAAGCCTGCATGCATTTAGAGGATGCAACTGCAGCGACAAACGTGTGCGGCACCCAGACCCGTCCTGTGCAAGTCTGTTCACTTCCTGCCGCGGCGGGACTCACACCAAACGCATTCAAACCCATCTGAAAATCCGCTTGGAGTGCATGCTGAGGCCTACATCAGCTGTTGCGGCGAGAGAAACACGGGTATCAACTGCAGGCCGTTGATGATGTTGATGTCTATACCCGCATGCGCATTCTCGAAACTTGCCCCAAACTGGATACTCCCTGCTGCGTCCTCCTTCAGCGCGCTTTGCACCTGGTGGAGCCCAAGAGAGGCGGCATTGACGCTCTGACAAGCACGTGGGACTTACAGCCTTGCGTGGGTGGCTGGTACGGCGAGCTATTCTGCGAGAAGGTCCAACAACTGCACAGTCTGACAGCCTGAGCCGTTTGTGAGCTCATAGTACCGTTTTCCCCTAAAGTGGCTTGGCAAGTGGAGAAGAGCTCAGCTAAAAGCAATTCACATCACCAGAACTGTGACATGCAAGCAGGGTCGGGGTAGCCTGCATGGATTTGCAAGCAGCGTGTCTTCTTCGCTCGCTGCTCGTTGCGGAAAAAACTTGCGGAAACCAGTGTTGCTGCCCTCCATGGCTGCCGAATCAGATGAGATGTTTCGGGTACAGTTCTGCCCGACAGACTGAACGCCGCCGTGGACATTGTTGAATACCGGTCGTTGGACACGGAACAACAGCCTTCGACATCTGCTTCCGGGATCCCGCGGCGGTCAATGGCGCAATCGACGCTGGATCGAGTTTTGTGTCACAGAAGGCCAGCCAAGAGCGCCATGGAACACCGTGCGGACAGCTGAGATGGCTGAGCTGACATCAAGATCAAACAGAATCAGAAGCTGCCGTGTCAAGACACAGAGGCAACTGATCGCAGCAAGGGCGGCAACAAGACCCCGGAAACAAACGTGTAGTTCCAATGCAAACATGCAGAGATGCAGGACCAAGCTATATAGACATCCGCTGATCCTACGCACATCTCCAGAACCTTCCATCAACTGACCGAACTTACCTGCAAGGCCAAAGTATCTCTGACCGGGTTGAAGTCTGCAGGGAATGATGGTCGTGATGACAATGATCAGGAAAACGCCGCTACCAGCTACCACTGATGGTCGTTTATTGATGGGTTGCTGTGGCAATGATTCGTGTTGTGAACATTCTTCGTTCGGGCCATCAGCACTGTGACTGTCACTGCTGTCCAGGCCTCCTCCCTGGGAGCTTGGGAAGGCGCTTGAGGTCGGGGGTGGTGTCCATCCGCCTCCTTTGCATGGGATGTCTCAGTTTTTGTGCAGGGTCTGGCACATGAGCATTTGCTACTCATGCCATACTGCTTTGAAGGGATTCAAAAGAGGCCTGGTCGGGCAAAGGTTCCGCTTCGGGCCCAGGGAGCCGGAGCCGTCGCAGGTTCTCATCCAGCTCCAGGGACCTCTGTGGCTGTGAACACTGTCTTTAAAAACTGTCCACGCATCCACGACAATCGTTTCACAATGAGAGGACTGAGAGGACCGTGGACATTCACTTTTCAGAGCAGCAAGAACTCCCAGCCTCCTTGCTTGCTCTCGCTTGCTCTCGCTCGCTCGCGTTCGCACTCGCTTCCAGTCTATTTCGACTTCGCCTGCCCTACAGCTGGTCAACGACACAGCTGAATGGTGTTGTTGATGCGGATGTCGCTGGATGCGAGTACAAGATTCCCTGGCTTGCTCCTCATGCTCGCCTCGTTGTGCTTCGTTTTGTTGCGTCTCTGTTTGTTACTGCTTCTGTTCTTTGTGGCTTGTGTTCATGTTTGTATGAAACTTACTGTAAGTTAGTCTTTAAGTTTAAATGCTGCCGCTGTGCTGCTTGCTTCACTCTGTTTGCTTTCGTCTGCTTAATACTAGTGCTTGTCTCTCGTTGTTTTAGTTTTGTGACTTTCAGCTGAGCGGCCATGCGGTTTTTCATGCGCATACAGAAAATCAGAGAAATGCTTTTCTGCTTGCATTGTCCAGTTTGCTGTAGGCAACAGCCTTGTGCTGGCTTGGTGCTACTTAGTTTACTTGCCTTTTGCACGTGAACTCAGTCGTTTACTTTCTTTTTCGCTGCATCTTTGGTGTGGGGTTTTTGTTCTCTGTACTATCCGGCCCTGCAGGACGCTTCCGTAAAACTACGCATTCGTCACAAAGCCTGTAATTAGATTACACAGCAAAGCACCAGAAATACGCGCCTCGACTCCAAGAGCTCGATGGCTTCCCGGCTTTTGCACCCCGGAAGCAGCTCCTGGAGGACTTCCTTTGCCATCACCTTCTGGGGGTCCTCGCGGCGGTTTCAGCAAGTGTTCGCCATGGCCTCCTTCTGCTCTGATAAAATGGATAAAATGCGACGCAGCAAGGGCACACACACACACACACAAGAGTCCTTGAGGCCACCGCAGAAGACCTTCGCACGAATGCGACTGTTGCCTTGTTTGCTTTGTATGGTGGCGACGCTGTCGATCCTCTTCGGGAGCAGCGATGCCTCCGAGCAAGTCGAGCGAAGCACCGCTAAGAACTTAGTAGACTTTAGTAGGGCTTGCAGCTAGCAACCGCTAGCCTCCCTTCAACCGCCACGCAGCCACACGGCGATGACAGGCGATGACCCGGCAACGCAGTCCAAGACTTGCAGAACTGGACAGGAAAGCTAGCAGAGCCGCGGCACCGGGCAGATGTTCGTCGGATACGGGATCTCCACGAAGCTCGCGCGCACGTCGTGGAAGCGCAGGAGGGACTTCACGGCCTGGTGAAGAGACACAGGTTGTGGACATCGTTGGCTTGGCGAGACAGCGCTCTCTAGCTTGAGTGGATTAGCTGCACCGCGTATGGTCTCTAAAGGATCCTTTCTCGACCGCACCGCGCATGGTCTGTGAAGGATCCAGGACTCCCTCGTGACCCCGCCTCTTCGGGAAAGTTCAAGTCAGCCAGCAGCAATGTGGGAAGATTGTCTGTGTCGCGGTTCACCAAACGTGCCACGCACTTGCAAAACTGCTCACGTGCAGGTCCATAAGGTCTTCCGGGCAGATGCCTTTGCACAGGGACACAGCTTTCCACCCCTTGCTGACATCGTTTCTGCTGAAGCAGGCATAACATTCGCTGGGGCGCGTGGTCACCACGCGGAAATTAGTCTGAGATTCCTTCAGGCGGAACTTTGCCTCCATGATGGCCTCCAACTCACACACGCACGCACGCACGCACGCACGCACGCACGCACGCACGCACGCACGCACGCACGCACGCACGCACGCACGCACGCACGCACGCACGCACGCACGCACGCACGCACGCACGCACGCACGCACGCACGCACGCACGCACGCACGCACGCACGCACGCACGCACGCACGCACGCACGCACGCACGCACGCACGCACGCACGCACGCACGCACGCACGCACGCACGCACGCACGCACGCACGCACGCACGCACGCACGCACGCACGCACGCACGCACGCACGCACGCACGCACGCACGCACGCACGCACGCACGCACGCACGCACGCACGCACGCACGCACGCACGCACGCACGCACGCACGCACGCACGCACGCACGCACGCACGCACGCACGCACGCACGCACGCACGCACGCACGCACGCACGCACGCACGCACGCACGCACGCACGCACGGCACTTCACGCACGGCACACACGCACTCACGCACGCACTCACACACACACACACACACACACACACACACACACACACACACACACACACACACACACACACACACACACACACACACCCCCACACACACACACACCCACACACACACACACACACACACACACACACACACACACACACACACACACACACACACACACACACACACACACACACAGACAGACACAGAGCGTCAACGCATCTCATTTGCGAAGGTTTCAGGACAAGCTCACGTGGTTTAGGATGGTTCAGGCCCGTTTAGGCATCCCGAGGATTCTTTTCTGCACAAGGACGAGGGAACTCTGAGAGGGCATAGCACGACAGAAACATCTGAGGAGATGCACCACTGCCACCACCCCGGCCTTCTTCTCGTCGGATGCGTAGGCCTCCTCGCCACGATGGCAGATCGGATTGTTCGGTCCGGGAAGCAGCTCCAGGACCTCCGTGTCGAAAACCAGAGCCTGTCAAGCACGACGACAGGTCTCCAGAGCGAACACATCAAACACCTGTCAACCTTTGCAACTGCCACACTACATCAAATGACATGCCAAGCAAATCGCTCGAACCCCACCTCTTGGTTCTTGTCGTCGTCCTGCCCGCTTTGCAGCAGCCTGAATCGCGGCATCCCCACTTCGCCAAGCCTCCTCTTGAGGACGCGGAGAAAGTCTGCCGAGCATTCCTGCAAGCAAATCAAGGAGACTGGGTAATGTTCACGGCAAAGCATCTTCTGCGTGATGTCGGCGATCCGGTGCTCTCGGGCGTCTGCTCGGTCGGAGGACTCCGGAGATTCCCGAGCGTGTAGTTCCGAGATCAGCGAACCGTTGAGGCCCTGCGTGTCTTCGGCAATGAACTTGTAGTAGCTCTTGTTCAAGACGTTCCAAGATGCAACATGGAGCGGCTTTGCTTCATTCACTGTGACCGTGGCCCCGACGGGGGGGTGATCTGATGGAAACTGCCACATTTTGCCCATTGGCGCTGCCAGTCGGTGGGGCAAGGAACCCAGCTTGTTCATGATCACCACGTCTGAGCAGGCTTCCAGCAAGCCCTGAACGACCTCCAGCGTCTCTTGAATGTTGTCCATCCGCACATCTCCTTCGAAGGCGGCCTTCTGCTCCAGCATTTCCAAACACTGGCGAACACACGTCCTGGCCTCCTCCTTCTCCTCTCTCTCGACTTCTGTGGAGCTTTGCGTGTGGTGCATCTGGCCATCTAACTGCTGCTGCATCACCTTCAAGCTCTTGCCTTAGCTGAAGTCGCAAGAAAATTAAGAAGAGCCTGAGCTGAATGTGTGTGTATGTGTTACATGTACGACTGTACTATACTGCATTACGGGCGGAAGCTATTCTAGCACTGCGGGGGTGACGAGTCATGCGCACATGAGTCGCAAGACAAAAAGAGTCGAAGTATCAAACAGCAAAGGGCAAGTCAGCAAGCAGCCAGGCAATGCCAGGCACAAATCAGTATCCATGCAAAGCGCTTGTATGGCATCGCAGCACAGCATGGCATTCGAACTAACACTTCAAGCCTAGCAAACTTCGGCCCTGCACCTTACCATCAGGTTTCTCAGCAGGGGCAGCGTTGCTGGGTTTAGGGTCTGAAGCTTGCTATAGGTTTGGTTCGGGTAAGTTCAGGTTCTGCTAGGATAAGTTAGGGTATTGGTTGAGCAGGTTTCAGTTTGGTTCGGTTACGCAAGGTGTAGGGTAGGTTGGGATTTAGGATGAGGGCTGAGACTTGCTACGATTGGAAAGAATCATCTAAGAGTGGTACGACATTCTCACAATGCTTGAATATATGGTCAGCCTGATTTTCAACCCGGCGGCGCAGCTGGGCCACGTCCTCGATCGTGTCTTTCTGCTTGGGCGTCAGTGGCTCGTGCTGCTGAGGCTGCTGGGGCTGCTGGTGCTGCTGGGGCTGCTGGTGCTGCTGGGGCTGCTGGTGCTGCTGGGGCTGCTGGGGTGGGCTTGGGGTTGTCTTGAGCATGCTGGCCAGGGCCTCCGCATGTGCGGCAAGCTGGCAGAGCTGGGCGGCCCAGTGCTGCAGCAGCGGCCACAGCAGCGTCAGCACGTTCAGGTGGAGCTCCTGATCCCAGCCGCGCTGGAAGAAGAACGCGCTCCGCTCCCAAAGCCGCTTCACCTCAGAGCAGCGACAACTCTCAAACAACATTTGGTGCTCGGTTCTTCTCTGAGCCTAGATAGTTCTTGGCGACTCGGGACGAGTACAACAACACGCACGATGTCGGAAAATGCATGGCAGACAGAAGACATCGCGCGACATCTTTGTTTGGAATGACCGGAAGAAGGTCAGCATGGCGAGGACAAAAACCCCTGCGCGGCTAGGCGTGTCCCTCTTGTTTGTCTTTAATTTTGTTCCGTGCTGAGCATTCCGTCGCGGCCGTCGCATTCTTATGTCCGCCGCCCGCCCTTTCACCTTGCTCTCACCCCATTCCGAAAGGACCGTGTCTGTTGCAAAGAACTGGCAGAACCCGCTCTCTATGAGAACCTGCTGAGATAGCCTTGCCGATGCACAAGCCAACTAATTAGCTATTGTTGTGCTGGCTCTGATGGCCGTTGCAGTGAAGCTACGATTGCAGGTTGCTTGCTCGGAAGTTTACGTGGTCCGGCTGAATCACACCTTTACATTATAAATTAAGGGACGTGCCGCTTTAGATGGGCTTGATTTACGTCTTCTGCTCACGCAGTCTGCACGTGCCACGGAGATGCATCTACACATAAATGACAGGACACGTTGAACGACTAACAAATCTGCATGTCCCACCGTGGCGGTGCTGAGGAAGCGGCATACTTCATGGGCTTGCCATGCTTCGCAGCGTACTCCTTCAACCCTCTCTCGAGGTACTCGATCTGGTTGCCATCCTTTGTCAAAGGCCTCACCTGTCTCGAGGCGTCCTCCGTGCAAATGTACCCGGCATAAAGCACGTTTGTCACCTCGAAGAATCGCACCTGATGTGCGCCACACGGCTGCCCTTGGAAGAGGCATGTTTTGGCAAACACGTCTACCTTGGCGGTGCGGCCTCTTGCGCCCTTCCTGAGGGCCTCGACCAAACCAATCTGGGCACCTTCTTCTTGGCACAGCTTGAAGCCTTGCCCGACTTCTGCGCGGCTCCAAGTCAGGAGCTTGTCCTTGTCTGATGAGCGTGGATCTCCAGTTTTGAGGCCACTCCAGTGAATAGCCAAGTCCTCGTTCCAGTGCTTTCCAAACTTCTTTTGGAGCTCGGCAGCTAACTTTTCCAGGGCCTCTGCCTCGTCGCGAGCTTCCAGGATCACGTACTCGGCAAGATCGACATCCCCCGGGTAGTTGAACTGCTTGAAGCGAAAGCTCCCTGCTGGCCGCGTGTGCTCGAACAAGGAGACGGCAGCGATGACCCTGCGAAGCTCATCACTTAGATCCGCGTGAAAGCGCTCCTCCAGCAAGCATGCACCTCGACAGAGGTTGCACTTCTCGGAGAAAGTGGAAACTCTGCAGCCTCGGGTCACACAAGGGCATCGCGATGCGAAACGATCGACTGACAGCACGGAGCGCATCTCTTGGAGCCACGGCAAGATGCCCGAGGAGATGCCCGCATACTCTGACAGGTCTTGTGCGTCGACAGCATCCCTCATCGCCTTGCACTCGAAGCCCAATGCCTTCCTCCAGGCCGACATCAAGGCCAGCTTCAGGTCTTCTTGGTCCTGCGGACTGGCTTGACCAGCGTGGCCTGCGTGGCTGGCATGGATTCGCAGCAACTCCGGGCTCCCGAGCGGGAAAAGCGACAGGTTCACCGCCGCATCCGCAGTGCGGACCTCCACCAGGTTGCTGTAGATTTGCGGCGGGCCTGGCGACAGACCCGCAGCGCCACTCCCCGGAGAGGTCAACGTCTTGTACAGGATCGATGCCAGCTTCGGAAAGAGATGCGGAGACATGAAGCCATCCAGGTGCACGTAAAGGAGCAGGTCTTCGGTCCGCGCTGGCGGCTGCAAGAGGTGGGCTTTTGGAAGGCAGCAGGGCACCATGAACTGATCCACCTCGGGAAGCTGTACCATGACCCCACGTCTCAAGAGCACCTCCCGCAGAATTGCCTCGTGTTCCTCCTGGAACTCTTGTGCCCAGAGATGCTTCAGGAACTGCAGCGTCACCACTCCACAGGCCTTGAAGCGCAGCAGGTCGCCGGGATCGGCGCGCCTTATCTTCTCGTCCATGTATGCTTGATACTCCTGGGAGTGTTCCCAGTGGGACTCCTCACGGAAGCGGACGAACAGGAGGCCCGTCAGCGCTTCGGCAGCCTTGCTCGGATTCAGCATCACCTGAGAGCGATCCCCAAGATGCGGAACCCGCGGACCCACCCCTGGAACGTACAGAGCTGGAGTTAGACTTGCCGACGCTCGCTCTTTCCGTCTTACTTTTGAATGTGTGTCTTCGAAGTATGCTTCTCGTCTGGAGCCCCTTGGAAAAACAAATGTGGTCTCCAGGCACTTCTAAGTCCGGAAATGGGGTGTGGGAACAAACAGACCAGGATCCGCCCCTTCCACGCCGACAATTTGTGGCCCAGCCCTCCCCGCTAGCACGAAAATTTGACGCCGCCAGCGGACAGAGGGCAGGCCAAAAAGCACGAAAGAAGGTCTCTGAACACTTTCCTTCAAAACTCGTGACCCCCTGAAATGCTGGAACCCTCCCCCTGAACGGCTTCCTGCCTGACCACCCAAGCATGCCAGGGTTGTCACTTTGGGTCCCAAGCTGACCCGTCACAGCATGGCATTTCCTTTCGTCTGCGACGCGCACTTCCGGGGCTTGCTTTAATATTTCGGTGTCTGCGTTCTGCCCCCTGCCAGCTCTTGCGGGGTCGCTGGCCATTTTTGTGTGGATGTTGATTGTGTTTAGGTGCGCAACTCTCGCATTCGCACGATGCAGCAAGCCAAAGCTTCCAAACATGGCTACAGCACCCTGAGAGCCTCACAATCTGGTCCAGGTGCTCTTCCTCGAACCACACCAAGGTGCCCAAAGAGTGCAGGACCCTCAACAACTTCTTCACCTCTTCACCTGCAGGTTTGCTGTATGGCTGCATCTCGCTGTGGGATATGTCTATGTATTTTGCTGCAAGGATCAGTGTGATGCTACTAGAGCAGCCATCACTTGAGGCCGCATGTGACTGGGAGGATAGGGGCCCCGATTCTCGTTACAGCTGGCTGCTGACTGAGAGGACCCTCTTCGGGTTGTTCCCCGCGCCTTCCAGATGCTTCGGCCTCATGCGTTGCAGCAGCTCCGACACGGTCTCCAAAGACAGGAAATCAAAGGACAGGCTCACCTCCATGGTCTCTGCATCGTTCTCTTCCCCAAAAAGGCAAACCCTCAACGAAGTGCCTGCCGGTGCCTTCAACCCCTCCCAAACAGAGCACTGGACGTCCAGCAGCGACTGCAGAGGGAAAGTCACAGCTCCTCTTGCATCCTTCTGCAGGTGCTTTCCCGCTCTTCGGGCCTCCTCCACGCAGCGTCGGACATCTTTTCTGGCGGCAGTGCAGGCGAGGCCCTCGCCGAGCTGGCGCAGCAGGTCGTGGCCGCGCAGCCAAGACACGGGGTAGCGCTTGGAGTTCATGCCGGCGTGCTGAGCCGGCGTGCGCTGCAGACCTCTGTCGAGAATCATCTCCTGGCCGATCTCTCCGATCTTCTTCCGGAGCGCCCCGATCCCTTTGCACTTTTCCAAGCAATCGGCCTTGTTTTCGACGGGGAACAGCCACTTGCAGCGGCAGGCCTCGCCATCACAGCTTCCGGGGCCATCCTGCAGCTGCCGCCTCAGGCTGGGCAGCTGTTCCACCAGACCTTCCAGGTGCTTCTGCAAGGTAACGTCGGCGCCCTCCCTCCTTTTGCTCCAGTGGGTGCCTACAATCAGAATCGGCGGCCTCGGCTGCTCTTCAGCCTCCTCAAACCTCTCACCCCCTCCTCCCCTCTTCTTCTTGTGGCCCTCCTTCTCTCTCTCCGTCTTGGCGTAGCGGGTAATCGCCCAGAGCCAGAATTTCAGGTCTTGCCACTCCTCCACCGGGTCAGCGCTCAAATCACACATCGCGAGATACATGGCCTGCCCAGTAAAGTACAAGAGGTTTAGCTGCGCGTACTCGCGCTGCCCGGGGAAGTCCCAGGCTTGCAGCCTCAGCTGCGGCCTGGACGCTTCCTCCTGTGCTTTCCCTCCAGATAACTCCAGCACCAGCTCGCCGCTGAGCTGCGACGGGCCGAGCATCCGCGGGAGCTGTCCCTTGAGTCCAAGCTCAGGAGCATTTTGCTGTCGCTGTTCGGGCTGATGCGGGTCAATCGTGGCATCCTCCCCGGCTGACGTGCTTGACATGATCTTGCCCGAAGCTCCATTCTGCGCGTCTGCATCCAACGGCTCAAGCGGTTCGTTTGCGTTGTCCTTCTTCTCGGTCTTCTGGCTCGAGGCCTTGTTACCTGTCTGTTTCTCCACCTCTTGCTGCGCCTTCGTTTGCTGCTGTATCTTCCTCACTCCTGCGCGAGCCATGTCCTTGTCGATAACTCTGCCCTCCCACTGCCTCCACTCTTCATCCAGGTCGTGCACCTCGGCAACGGAGCGCGCGACGCCGAAGGTGGACGCCTCTTTCTCGGGCAGCTCTTCCCCCTTGATGCGCCTCAGCTTCCGCCGCACGTGCGTGCAACGACTCACAACCACTCACAACGACTTACAACGACCTCATCCCTGGATGGCCCTCGCAACAAACACACACACACACACACACACACACACACACACACACACATACACATACACACACACACACACACCACCCCTCGCAAGGCCTCAGCGTCGAGGTCTTTCCCACGCGCCCTTTGCCCACGAAGCAGAGCCTGACCACTGCCAGGGGCTCTTCGCCGTGTTCTTGCCACCTGGCTTTGGACAACGTGACGTGCTCGCCTGACTTCTCTCTGCAAACAGAACACGTCCAAGCGCGCAGCACCTCAAACCAGATACTTACTTTCTTGTTTTTGTGCATCGTGCTCAAGCAGATTGGATCCCAAGCGCCTCCGGAACGCCATCTGCAGAATGACCTCTTCCAGATATGGAAGAAGACACAAACAGCAAAGTCACGGAAAGATGTCCTGGGTGTGTCCACTGCACAGTTGTAGATGCAATCAGGTCAATGCCATGTAAATGCAGAGTAAATGCGATGTCATTGTGGTGTAAAAGTCAAAGGAAATCAGATATGTGATGTAGGCGCGGTGTCAACGTAATGTCATTTGTATTGCCACAGCCATGCCAACCCAGGAATCGGTCTTCCTGTGTGAAGGCTTTGACTTGAGACTTCCAGTCGGGTCGCTGCCCGGTGTGCCAGCCCTGCGGCTTGAACCGCGGGCTGTTTGTCTGAAGAGCTCTTGATTTCACATCCTGTGCTTCTGCCAAACTCTTCAAAAGCTTGTTGGCCGCAGACGACTAGTCAAGAGCAACATAGACAAGACATCATCTTCATTCAATACTTCTTACTGATATTGCGCGGATTGCAAAATACGCAAACATACTCAACACATTCGGAGAAGTCATGACGAAGAACAGCACAGCCAGTCGAACATGCGGTCTGCCTGCCATGCGGGTAATTCAAAAAAGCTCCTGGCATTTTCCATTTAGGCGGTAGACCTGGTATTTGCAAGTGATCGGTACAGGGAAATTTTGACTACCAGCAGGCGTTGGCAGTTCGCACTCCGACTCTACGATGTCATCACCGCCAACTAGACTTGGCAGCGCTTCTGCGTGCTCACTTTTGTCCGCACGGTATCTCGCTTTTCGTAACCAGGAACCTGTGGGCCACCTCATGACGATCTCCTTAAGAGCACAACCAAGGTCTTGCCTGAGATCAATCAACAACACAATGGAGCACGAGGAACTGTTAGAAACTCTCCCGGAGGAAGTTCACACCTACGGGCATCATCAGAACCTGGAGGTAGGAACCGTGCTGCTTGGGATCCTTTGCCTCTCATGATGTTTGCCAGAGCGCAGAGCGAGTCGCCCATGCACATAGCAGCATGACCACGGCACATGTTGTCTGGCTTCAGCCCCAGCACACTGCAGGGCTGTCGAGGCGGACGGCGCGAAGCATTTGCAAGCATGAGTTCAACTCCTTCACATCCGCTTGTATTTGATGTGTTGCGCAGAGGGAGGTTTCCGAGATTGCCATGGAATCATACGGAATGCCGCGGATATGTCGAAGAAGGGGCAAGCCCGGAGCTTGCCCCGACTTTTTCTCACGCGTCAGGCATGCGTGCTCCAGAAACGCTTCTGCGCCCTGCGTTTGTGGGTCTGGCACACTTCTTTGTCGCAGCTGCGCCGTCGCCGCCCTCCAAGCACACGAATATTGGGCTCCGTGGCGTTCTGTGTTGTGCAGAGCTGCCCCACGCAATCGTGCAGGTGTCTGAGTGAGGACCCCCCCTGAAAGCCAGGATGTTTTCTTTTGTTGTTGGTTGTTTTCTGTTATAAGTTTTGCTTTGGAAATCTTGTGGCTTAGGGTGCTTGGGGCTTTGCAGGGTTTCGCCCTCGGGCGTATGGCTTTGGTTTTGTAGGGTTCTTAGGGCTGATAAGGATTTAGGTTTTGTCTAGGGTTGATTTTCTTACAGCTGAGGGCCTTGGTTTTTTGTGAGGCATTATTAGGGTTGTCAGGGTTTATGTAGGTCTCAAATTGTCTCAAGCTTCTAGGTTCAGGTTGGTTTTTGGGGCTTCGTAGATTCGTAGATTCCTTCTTTCCTTTCCCCGTCTCGATGTCCCTCTCCGGCCTCGAAGAGGTCCAAGGCCCAGAGCTCGTCCAGACGTGTCCCACCTCGCTCTTCGGGCTTTGGGTCGGTCTGTGGGGGCCCCGTGCGGCAGACGAGAAAAGCTCTCCGAGGCCGCCGCCTTCGCTTTCCCCGCCGAAGAGGAGCCAGGACCCGGAGGCGGAGTCGAAGGCCGCGGCGTGCAGGTGCCGCGCTCCGGGGCTCGCTGCAACAGGCGGGAGCAGCTCCCAGCGCCGGGCCTCGCGCAAAATCTCACATTTCGACTGGGGGGGACCGTGGGAAGAGGAGGGAAGCTGCCGCAAGTGCAAGCGAGCTTCGGATTTGTGTCCGAGTCCAAGGCGAGGAAAAACTGTTGCTGGAGCAGTGGCCGGCTGCTTCTCTGCCGATTTGTTTTGCCTTCTTTTGAGGCCCCTCACCTCTCCCCGATTCACAGTGCAACTTGATGGTCGATTCTTTCAGCACGTGGGTCCATGCTTCATTGGTATGAGCGAGTCTCCACCCAACCCAGGCCCCAGGAGATGACAATGGCCACTGTGCTCGGTTCACCTGCATGCCGCTTCCCTCATCCCCTGCTTGATGTGTTTTCTTCATGCCTGAGGTGCGTTGCCAGGATCCGGTGATTGTTGATCGTTTCTTCTTTCTCTCTGTGCGAATACTTACTTTCTTGACGCGAGACGAACTCCCGAAATTTCATTCTTGGCTCAGTTTGGAAGCTCCCCTTGATGGTTTGTAGAAACTATTTTGATTCCCTGGCCACTGGCTCTGTCCGTACGCGTTGTTTCTGCTAGGAAATGAAGCCTGCCCACCTGCAACAGCAAAGTGCGCTCTCGGCTACTTGGCCTCGGTCCTTTGCTACTGTCCTTAATTCTCATCTGCTTAGTGCTGTTTTCGCCTAGTGTATGCTAGCTGAGAGAACATCAAAGAGACCTATTCAGCTTGCGAATGCCTAGTCGGAGTTGGTCGTCATGAAGGGAAGGGGCATTCGAGTAAACATCAGTGTGCATATTTAGGGGGTCCCCCGGGACTTCCTTGTCCAGTGAACATGATGTTTATTGGACCCGGCGCGTGTCGAAAAGAGCGCCGTTTTCAGACTCCAGTGTGCGCCCTGCTGTTCTTGCTGGCTTTATTCGCTACTCCCTAGGGTTTGTTTTTGGTTAAGAATGTTATGTATTCCTGTGTTTCTTCTCACTTCTTGAGATGTCTTTTTGTTTGCTAAGAATGTTAGACATTGTTCCTTAGGGCTTCTTTTTGGTTTTTCTGTTTAGATTGTTTTGTCTTCCAAGCTTCTCAGGGTTTCTTTTTTGGCCTTTCCGTTTAGAATGATTAGTTTTCCTGTGTTGTTTTTCCTAACTCCTTAGGGCTCGGCTTGAGGCCTTTCAGGCCTGACCTAAAATTTAGGGTTTAGGGTTTAGGGAAAAAGTAAACTCAACTACGCTCTTTCGATCTTCAAGGCCATTCTTTGCAGGTTTGGGATTCTCTTGCTAAACTTTAAAGTTGAGATTGCCTTCAAAGATTTAAGACCTTCTCTTGTTTGAGGCGGCGCATTTGAAGTTTTCCGAACCGCATGAAATTAGGGCGGGGCCCTGTGCATTTTGCGGCAGCTGGAAAGTTGCATGGAGGGCTTCCGGAAAGGACAACTGCCTTACCCCTCACAGCACATGACGCCGGGGGGGGAGGGCCCGGTGCATTTTGCAGCGGCCGGAAAATGCATGGCGGAATGTCCCCTGCATGTGCCTTTGGACTGGATGCGCACTGGACGCTTAACATGATGTTTTACTCGACGCTTAACTTGATGTTTACACGACCCTGCCCCCTCATGAAGTCTACCCTTCGGTCTTCCTTCATGTGTCCATCCCTACTCTCCCCATGGGCGACCTTCTGCTACTACTATACGAGTATACAGTATACCAGTTACTACCACCGCTGCTAAATACTGTTCATGAAACGCACATTCACCCACGAGACGCAGCGCAGCGCAGATCGGCTCAAAGCACATGATGCTCCATGATGCTCCATGAAAAACTATTGAATAATCACTCGCCTGTCCCGACATGCCTGATCAATGAGGGGCTCGGCTGACGTCACTGATAGCGTAATTGCCCCTTCCGCCCATCAAGCAGCCATCGCGCTAACCCTTTTTCTGCTCAGCGTCTTGAGCCACAAATATTCAAGTGGCTCTGGGTACACTTCTCGATTATGTGCTGAGTGACTTTCAGTTGTCACACTGATAAGAACAGATCCTCAGCGGTGCTCTGTATCCCTACTGGACACTACATGGCACCATGATCATAGCACTTATGTCCAACACTCCTCCTCAGGAGGGGTCAGAGTGCCAAGCAAAGCAAAAAACTGACGTCAAGCTAGTCTCAACGCGGCCCGTGCGATCTCTAGGGCTTGTCTTCCCAAAATCTTTGTTAGAGCATCTGCTAAGATCAGCTTGCCCGAACAATAGCGCAAAGCAATGCTGTGTTCCTGAAGCTGGTCTCTCAAAGCAGCTGCCTTCACGCAGTAGTGACGATTCCTCCACGATGTCACTGCATGCGTTATGTTTGCTATGCATCCTGTGTTGTCAGACAAAAGCTCGGTTTCAATCACCGAGCCTTCATCCAGCAGCCCTCGAACAAGGTTCAGCACGGCTATTGCTGTCACCGATCCCAGTCCGGCGGCTTGGATTTCGGCTTCCACTGCGCTCGCAGCTGCGAGACTCTGACGAACCGACGACCACTGCACGAGCTGGCCGCATAATAGGGCTGCCACTCCGCTGCGGCTTCTATCACCGCCTGCTGCGAAGCTAGCATCGGCAGACACGCTCAGGGAAATCGCACTTGCATCACTCTGGCGAAACATCAACTTGATTTCGACAGTGTTAGCCAAATATCTCCAAACCTGATGGCACCACCCCAAAACCTTAGTTGGTTGAACGACCAATTGCGAGCCTAACACCCCTATCACTGCAGCGATGTCCGGGCGTGAGCGCTGTGACGCCCACAGCAACGCTCCAACCTCTTTCTGGCATGCTCTCACAAGCTCCCGATATCTGTCACAGTTGCGATCCTCGAACTCAGGCTCGCCTCCTTCTGTGACAGCTGGCAAACTTTGCGAACCTTTTATGTCGCCAAACTTGCGCTCCCCAAGACAACTCTTGAGGTAAGGAATTTGGTGACATGCCAAAAACTCCCCTACAAAGGAAAGCCTCATCCCCAAAAACCCTAGCTCGGCTTGAGGATTCAACTCGTCGTGCAAGTCATGCTGATACATGGGATCCTTCGGATTGATGAGTGTGCCTTGATCTTTCACCTTCCACCATTCCTTGATGGCCCTTCTGACAAGATGCAACACATCGGCCTGAGCTGCAACCAAAATGTCATCCACGTAAAACAAAGCATACGCGACAATCCCTCGCTTTGTGGACTTGAGGACCCACACGTGTTCATGAACGTCTGCGGGCGCAAACATTGCAACCTCGACATCGGACAACCTGATTTTCTTGTTGCGCACGGTGTTGTTGCGTTCCCTTGCCCACTGGCGCGGCGAAGCCCTGAGCCCATATAGGGCTTTCTTCAGCACCCACATCTCTGTTTGACCTGCGAGCTTCCAACGTCGGAGAAGCGCCGGCGGCGCAACCACTATAGCTGGGTCACCTTCTGGGAGACCAGCGTATAAGAAGGCAGCATTAACATCGAGGATGGTGAAGCTGAACCACCTCAGCAACGCCAGTGTGAACAAGCATCGAGTGAAGAAAGCATCAGGAACCTCGCTGCGATTGCCGATTTCTTTTGCAGCTTCGGCCTGCATGTTTCCACAAACCACGATTCTGGCTTTGTACTTGTAGCCTCCCTCACCCTCTGCAGCTTCCGGCTGGGGCTTCTTGACTAGGACCAGTTTGCTGGGCAAAGGCCTGGGGATTTTTTCGCCATTTGCCCTCCGCTTTCTCAGATCCTCTTCAGTCACTCGCTCCATGACCTCCATTGCGTCCAGATTCCCAAGCTCTTGACGTATACCATCTTCCCAGCGAGCCCTTTCCGACTCATCAGCCCTCTCAGCTTCCCGCGGATCAACAGAAACGTTCACAAGAGCATCTGTTTCCAAACACTCCGCTACCTGGTCCATGCGATGCATTTGCACCTGCGCGTCGGGATCGGGGAGCCAGTATCTGTCTTTGGACTTTGGTTCTTGAGGTTGAAATGCCTGCACCATGGCTGCGGGGACCGCCTCAGCTCCCTCAGCGACCTCTGTCCTGGGTGCTTCTGATTTGATGATGCGGAATAACGTGACACCTCGCCACTTGCGGTGATCTGAGTAGGCTGGCCTATCCGGCACTCCTTCCACCCATCTGTCAAACAGTACTTGCCTCTGGCCCTCCTCAGTTAACACAACCGTCACCCTCGGTGGACATAAGGTTGTGTTCGGAGAAGGACACATGTCGTCCTCAACTGGGACAAACATCCCAACCCTCGGTGTGAGATGCCTACGGACAAGATAATCACCGCACACTTTCCAAACATCATCCCCGTTCGCAGCTTCCTTGACCAATCCAGCCTGGAATCCAGCAATTTCGAACCATGATACCTCGACGCCACCCTGCGGCACATCCGTGACCTCACCATGCTCATCAGGCGACTCACAAGAGTGTGTGAACAGGTTGTAGTGTCGTTGAGCGTCCCAGCCGGGAAAACCTTTCCGGACATAGTCGCCCACATCACTTGTACTGTCAGCTGGCCTGCGCTCCTCAAACGACAAAATGGTTTCACGGTGTGGGGCTGTCCACACCACATCTCCCTCGCTGGAAATCCAGACAGCCTTTGAGCCATCGTTGGGATGTGCATGCATTCGCCAACGCTTTATCCCAGGTGAACGCCACTTCTTTGGACCAGACACATGCAGGAAAGAGGTGTGCGAACCTTCACGGACTGCGACCACAGCTCCATCGGGAATTGACTCGTCAACCCCGAGAAACACTCCATACCTCACCTTGGGAATGAAATCCCCACCTTCACGAACTGCTTCGCTCTTTGCCGGAACGAGAACACAATCACCTGGTGCAGGATACTTAGCCGGAATGTCGCGGCTTAGCGCAGACTGGCGAAGAAGGAAGGCTGCATGCACCATCACATGTGACCACAAAGTAAGCGGCAGTCTGCCTTCCTGTAGCATGGCGATTGTCCGGGTCTTGGTCAAACCAATATACCTTTCTGTTCGTCCGTTCTGGCTGGGATCCCCCGGCTGTGTCGTAGTCTGTTTGAGACCTGCGTCTAGCATTGCCCGACGAAAAGCTGTGCTCAAGAATTCGCCCTCACAATCTGAATGTATCTGTGCAATGGGCAGAAATCCACCGTAAAGTGATCTCAGCATTGACAAGACTTTCATCGTGCCCGGCAACACGCTCAACGACGTCTTGTCTTTCAAGGGGACTACGTAGACGAGGTTCAGTCCGTCACTCAAAGCTGCCACAGCAACGAGCGCATATGTAGCTTCGGTTTCCAGCGCTTTGGGATGTGGTCCAGTGACGTCCAAACTAAGCACTGCCGTTGTCCTTGTATCAATGCTGACCTTACGGTGCATACGTCGTAACCCAAGCGACTCTTGGCATGCTTCGCAGTCTGGGCGGGCTGGAGTGTGTCCGCATCGTGCATGCTCATCCTTCTGTCCTGAAGGTCCGGCCAATGGCCCGAAGCAGATCTTGACAGGTGGCTCCTCCTCAAGCGGGACAGCTGATTTGCAGATCTGGGAACAGGGCACTTGACTTGGAAAAATCAGACTGAATGCTATGCGCGTGACTTCTGGGGCTGTCTGAACGACGTCCTGCACTGTGGCCACGCGTGAGGGATTGTGACTTCCTGCATGGGTCTCTGGGACTCGGAATTTCAAGCGTTCCAGGACCTGTCCCATCTCAGATGTCACGAGTTTACCCGATCCTGTCACGTACACGCTGACTGATACACGTGTGCCCACAAATTGCTCCACAGCATGGTACAGTCCCTTGGCATCCAACTTCAACCAATGACCATATGTAGAATGCATGCTTCCTGTCATTGACACTCCATGAATCACTGCATCGACATCACCTCCCGAATCTTGAACCCACAGTCTTCCCCCGCTGAACTCACCAAACGATCTGAGGTATGAGGGACCGGTGTTGCGAGTGTCTCGATGCGGGCTGGCCCTGGTGTTCATCCCAATCTGAACCGAAGTCCAACGAGCGTTTTCAGGCAGTTGTCGTGCGAGAACAGCATTGATGAATTCGGCTGTTTCTGGCAGTTGATACGTGGCCGTTGTGAGGCCGATGAAGCCTCCATGCTGATACAACCCAAACACAATGCTGTTGCACCTACCCCCGTCAAGCACTGTAGCATCGCGACGAACATGACGCGACTTGTAGGGCAATTCGCGAAGCACCATTTCCAAGAAATCTCCAAGCTCAGATGGCTTTGAGACCTCACACTGGGGCAGAAGAGTTCTTGCCAGGCTTTCAACCGCCTGCATTTGGACTTTGCGGACGGAAGCGATGCTTGACTCGCAGTCCCCTAACCACAGAGAAGCATCTTGCAGAACGCATTCTGCATCTACAGAGTCGCACTCACAAGGAGAGCTCGCATCTGCTTGATTCACTGTGGCATTCCGTGAGCGGTACTTGTGAGCAAGCTGTCTGCGAATCGGGATGAAATCTTTCCACCTGATGTAAGGCAAATCATGATACGAGTGACACTGAATGTGCTTTCCGTGGGGTGATATCAACTCGGCTCCTGATTCTGACCATACTACTTGATAGCCAAGATCCTTAACCAACCGAGTGACCGGCAAGATCCACGGGTGATGCTGATGATCATTGCCCGATTGCTTTGGCAACATCACTTCACCTTCGACTGTTCTCCAGCCTTGCCTCTGCTCTCCACTAGCCAGAGTCACCAAGAGAGGCGCCGCACCTTCCAGATCTTTCTCCGCTTGCTCATTCCAAGGACGAAGAATCTGATTTGCACCGGAGTCAACTAACACCCACGGCAAACCCCCTGAACCGTTATCAGGACCAAGTGCATTGATAGCCGTTGCTGCTTCAGGCGACACTTGCATCATTGACGTGATGATCTCTACAACCGGCTTGTCGGCCTTGGCTGCTGCTGCTTTAGCTTTGGCCTTTGGATCTGCCTTAGGTTTGGCATTAGGGTGCTGGCCGTCTTCCCTTTTTGGGCTGGGCTTTGGCTTTGCTTTAGGCTTTGGCTTTGGTTTAGGCTTTGGTGATGGCTTGTCAGGCGTGGACTTCTCCCGTGGGATATGCGCAAATGGACAAGGATTGCGATTGCACCCGCCAGGCTTGTTGAAGAAGTGGCATGGTTTGACCTTGACTGCGTCAGCCGCTGAAGCCACCCGGACATCGGTGGAAGATGCCACTCTAACCCGCTCATCCTGATCTAGCAGTAACAACTCTTGTTCTGCAAGCTTTTCAAACTCAGCAATCCCGGACGCAGTTGGCTGTCGGACACCGTGCGACAAGCGAGCATTTTGAAGAGCAAAACGAAGTGTCTCAAACTTGCGCTCCATTGGCGCTAGAACTTCCTCAAGGGCAATCAGAAGCTCCGTAGCCGGCGGTTGCGACATCCCAAGACGATTCAGTCTCGACCTGGCCGTCCTCCACAACCGCAGATGCGCCCGACACCCACTGACACTAGATGAGTTGCTGCCTGGTCTCCGAACGAAATCAAGGAGTGAACGACAATCTTCTTTACCCCCCGGACTAAACCACTCGTATGTCTGATGCAGAAGCTCCACACTTGAGGGTGAAGAGTTTGGCCTTCCCTCCAATAACGGTCGCTTAATGTCGCTTGGCAACACATTCATGAGTGTCAACAACAGCTTGTTCTCGTGCACGGCTTGTCCATCTGGGATTCGGACGCCGCTCACCCCAGACTCAAACGCATCAGACAACAACACCCTATCAGCTACACTGAGACTCTGAGTGCGTTTATGCAAATCTTGAGCGGTCTTCAGAACCCACTCCCAGTGCTGAGCCATCGCTGGGCTCACAGCGTTGGCACACACACCCATTTGTTGCAACCACAAATCTAGAGCTAACGATTTCTCCCACGTTCTCTCAGCTGCAATCAAGAGCTGCGGAGCCTGACGGAGACACTTCCAGTCATCTTGACCCTTGGCCTCGAACGCTGCCGCCGTCGCGGCATGGAGAGAAGCTTGCTCTGCTTCCTGCTGCAATGACTGGAACCCTAGAGGCCGTGTGGACATACCATCACTCGTGTCTGACGGGGCTTGGTCTTGTCGTCTGAACGACGTTTGGGGAGCTGTCTCTGTCATTTGATGCACGGGTTCTGTCGGGGCCACCTGTGACCAGTGCGAAGTAATTACAGATTCAGCTGTAAGGGTTGGCAATGGTCCAGCAGCACTCGCCCCGTGAGTATGGCCCGCTCTTGCTTGCACAAGCGTTCCGAAAGGCGGCTGCACACACGAAGGCACCTGCATACCTTGCATACGCAGGTCACCTGTGAACGCCTGCAGACCTGGTGGGACTTCCACACCGGAAGGCACCTGCATACCTCGTGCATCTGCAGCACTTGCCTGCGCCTGCGCACCTGAAGGCACCTGCATACCTTGCGCGCCTGGGGCACCTGCATGCACCTGCACACCTGAAGGCACTGCCTGCACCTGCACGCCTGAAGGCACCTGCATACCTTGCGCGCCTGTGGCACCTGCCTGCACCTGTTTACCTGAAGGCACTGCCTGCACCTGCACGCCTGAAGGCACCTGCAGACCTGGCGCGCCTGTGGCACCTGCCTGCACCTGTATACCTGAAGGCACCTGCATACCTTGCGCGCCTGAAGGCACCTGCATACCTTGCGCGCCTGTGGCACCTGCCTGCACCTGCACACCTGAAGGCACCTGCATACCTTGCGCGCCTGAAGGCACCTGCATACCTTGCGCGCCTGTGGCACCTGCCTGCACCTGCACACCTGAAGGCACCTGCATACCTTGCGCGCCTGTGGCACCTGGCAGGGGTGGACATTCACGCAGCAACCGCGCATCAAACCACGGATGAAAGTCAGCATCACCCTGTGAGTGCTGACCAGCCGTCCACGTCCAAGGAGATGCGTCATGCAACGTGAATCTGTGACTTAGCTCATCTCTGCCTGCTGAAGTGAGCCGGGGACTACAAGAAAGCACCTCAGGAGATAGCGGAAATTGTTCGGCTGACCTCGGCGGAGTTTGTGGCGGCTCCTGAAACTGGCGCCATTTGCACTGCAGATCATCCAAAAGATTGGCTTGCTCGTTCATCATGTCTTGACAAGCATCCAACCTATCTTCAAGCTGACTTGCAGAGCTTAGGTTTTCCTCTAGGGATTCCTGACACAGAGACATTCGAATTGTCAATTGCTCCACGTCCTTTACTACAACCAACTCGATTGCATCAAGTCGGTCGACGATTTGGGCCATCTGCTTTCGCAGCTCCAACTGACTCTGTGCCAGCTCGTCAACGTCATGCTTTAGGCGGGCCTGCGCCTGCCGAACATCACGAAACGCGTGATCACTTGCCATCTCCAGATTCCTCAGGTGGGATGCCATGTCATCCAGTCTGGATGTGAAGCCTTGCATTCTCATCTCCACATCAGTCGCAACCTGTTCAGACAACGACAAAGGAATCTGTTGAGCAGCTCGTCCGAGAACCTCCGTCCTTCGAAAGAGCTCTTGCAACATCACAGCTGTGTCTTGTTGATTCTGGGAGCCTCCCCATGTGGAAAACTGATTCAGGACCTCTGGAGGAATGACAAACTCCATACTTTGACGCACTCGTGCCAGGACAGAATGAGAATCAGCGGAGTTGGCAGTGCCCAACGCAACAGTGGGAACCATTGCGTTGGACTCATAACCTATTGAATAATCACTCGCCTGTCCCGACATGCCTGATCAATGAGGGGCTCGGCTGACGTCACTGATAGCGTAATTGCCCCTTCCGCCCATCAAGCAGCCATCGCGCTAACCCTTTTTCTGCTCAGCGTCTTGAGCCACAAATATTCAAGTGGCTCTGGGTACACTTCTCGATTATGTGCTGAGTGACTTTCAGTTGTCACACTGATAAGAACAGATCCTCAGCGGTGCTCTGTATCCCTACTGGACACTACATGGCACCATGATCATAGCACTTATGTCCAACAAAAACGCAGTCGGTCAACATTCAGTCACAAAACCCATGACGTATGCCAATTATCCAAAATCTGGTAGCGGCGTTCTAGGATTGGTACGAGTATAGTGGAATTAAGGGCATTCCTGGAACGCAGGCCGGAGTTCGGGCGATCAAGATGCGCCGGTTGGCATATGTTGACGTGTCTTCAAGGCGCCTTCCACATCCCCACACGGACCACACGACCCGCAGGGCGCCGAATGAGTTGCTGCCAGTTCTAGGTCCATGAGCCCCGTTGCCAAACACAAGCCCAACAAACAACTTAAAAACAGAAACCACTCACCGCCTGACTGCAGTTCTCCCATGCTCCCTCTCTCCTTCTGCCTCGAGATCGAACATCCAGAGGTCGCCCAAGCGGCCACCTGCACCTCAGCATCGCGCACAGCATGGGGCTTCGGCAACCTCCCACATTGCTGCGGGGGAAATCTCTCTCCTCTTGCAATGGCGCCGCCCCGGGCCGGGCCCCCGGACCATTCCCGCCGAAGACCAGCAGCTGCCCGGCAGCGCAGGCGGAGGTGTGGAACTGCCGCGCCGGGGGCCCCTCCGCGGCCTGGATCTCCTCCCAGCGCTTTGCCTTCCGGGGCGCGGGAAAAGGGGACTTTGTGAGACCGTGGGAAAGAGAGACCTTGTTGGCACGTCTTCGGGCGCCTCCAGGTCCAAGGACCAGAGGTCGCTGAAGAAGTTGTCACCCTGGGCTCCTCGACCGCTCCATTCCACTCCGCTTCGCTCCGGATTTGCGGGGAAACCCAGGGGCGCACACTCTGAACCCGAATTTTTATCCCTGCCCCTGTTCCCCCCCCCCTCCCCCGCAAAAAAAAATGCATTCAGAGCCCCGGCTTCATTTCAAGACACGTCTGTTTTTATAACACACTTGGCAGTTAGCAGTGATCTCTACCTCCACCTCAAGTTCTTATTATCTATCTACCCTCATGTTATCTCATCTCTGGGACTCACTTCCTCTGATGGCTTACCCAGGCTCATATACGGATGTAAAAAGTATTGTGAAACATTTATTTGATGGACACGATAAGCACCTTCTGCGAGGTGCATCTGACAAGTTCAATTCGATGAAGCAGTGTTGCGATGTTCAGCTCGATGGTTGCTGCAGAGAAGCCTACTTCGTTCAGCATTTCCTCAGCTTAGAGTCGTTCACGGTTTCCTTCTTTCGCTTCAGCAGTTGCACTCAAGAGCCCAAGTCTTGTTGAGCAGGATGATGCCCAGCCTTCTTCATCCTTGCATTCCTTGCCGAAGCCTGCCCCGGACACCCTGCCACCTGGGTTTCACTGGCCGCCCCTTTACCCCCTCCCTTCTTGGATCCCGGGCCTCCGAAAAGCAGCATAGCGTGGGCCGCTTCCTCGTAGCTGGCCGAGTGTCCCCACCTGGCCGCTGGCCGCCGGCCCTCGGGCCGCAGCTTCGCCCAGCGCTCGGCCTCCGAGGAAAACATGCTGCGGGCACAGCTGTCAGGGTATACCACGGAAGTGGTATGTGGATCGAGAGGGAGCTGCGTCGTCTCTTGTCTTCCTGGATCGCTTCGAGAGGAGGAGACTGCGACTTGGAGGCTTTTTTGCTAAAAGCGAGATGTTTGGGCATGCTCTTAGAGAAGGGCTGCTCTGGCAGCACAGGCCTAACGTTGTTCGGGCATGGGCGCTCTCAGGAACGGCACAGGGAGTGTATGTTTGAACTGGCGTCCACAATCATCCTCCCCCTCATATTGAGAAAGTACATCGGTTCAGCTGCGCCGGACACCCTCAAAACCAAACGCACCCGGAGAGGGGCTGAGGCTTGTGGTTTAGACTACACGGGGAGGGGGGGCAATGAGGCAGGAAGGGACTGGCGAATGTGCTGCAAGCAGGGCGCAGCCGAAGGCAGAAGAACAGCAACAACCAGTCCTATACAATAAGCTGGTGCACTTGGGGGGGCGTGCTAATACAGCGGGAGATGCGTCCCGCACATGTACGGCAGTAACGAATCCGAACTTGATCTCGGACGTTTTGAAACATTCTGAGTCCCAACCGGCGCCCTGGCACAACCGATTGAAAAAAAACATAATATTCTGACTTTGTTCGACGACATGGCCCGCACGTGCAGTTTATGTCATAACGATGAGGCGCTGCTCGGCCCTGGTTACCTTGGTCTGAGCCAGGTATAGTCGGCTGCCGTGCGCCACTCCTCCACCAGCCAACACGCCGCACGATACCTCAGAGATCCTGAGAGCCTTCTGTCCAGTCCAGGAAGCGCCATTTCTTCTAGCACACACCAGACAAAATATACCTGAGAGAGCCTTGCGTCCCCATCCACGCAGTATCCCGATGGTCTGAGACATTCCGAGACTGTCTCTCTTGGTCGCTATACGGACTTCAAGCGCCGCGCGCCTGGAGCTCCAGGATGAACACATCGTCCAGGGCACCTCGGGGAACTGGACCTTTTTTTTTCTGCCGAGACGGGGGGGCGCGCCCCTTGCTTCTTTTTTTGGAAAGGGACATGACATGCAGACCGGAGGGCTGAGGCCCACGCGTAAATCGCCGCCTCGCAAGACGCGCAGCTTATATTAGGCGTATGTGAGGCTTCGAGGACTCTCACCCTGGAAGCTTCGGGAGGCCAAAAAGAGCGGGGCAGTTTCCCGGCGCCTCTGCCCCCGAAGACCACCATCTGCCGGCCCTTGGGATCGAAGATGGCGGAATGAAGCTCCCTTCCTGGAGGGAGCTCGCCTTCGCGCCGCAGCTCCCTCCACTGTTGGTCCTCGCAGGCAACTGGGGCGCAGCTTTCCCAAAATGCACCTCCCACCTGCGCTCTCCGCCGCTCCGCCCGCCTCCAAGCCGAAGGCCCAGGCGTCGTCGCCTCGGCGCGCCGGTCCCCCAAAAAGGCTCGATGCACCCTTTCATCTCAGGGCCCCCGCTGTATCCTCTTCCAGGAACGTAGCCCCCGAAGAGGAGCATCGCCCGGGCCTTGATGTCCAGGATCGCGGAGTGGTCTTCTCGCGCTGAGGGCCGAGGCCCGGCCGTGCCCAGCTCCTCCCACTCCTTGGCCTGGTTCTCGCTTCGTTCTTTAAGAGTTTGGGGCAGGAGCAGAGCAGAGAAGCGGAGCCCTTCGGGAGCCCTTCAAAACGCCTCGAGGCCGAAAGCCCAGACGTCGTTCAGGTAGCTGCGACCACCTCGGAACGAGAAAAGAGAGCCCGCAGGAGGACGAACGGAAGAACAACAAGGGTGGGGAAAAAAAAAAACGCGGGAGGAGGAGGAGGAGAGAGAGGAGAGAGGAGAGAGGAGGAGAGAGGAGGAGAGAGGAGGAGAGAGGACGAGGAGGCTTTGAAACGGGGGCTTTTGGCCTGCGAGGCCGCCAAAGACGAGGAGTCGCCGCGAGGCCGCGTCGACGACGGCGCTGTGGCCTTGCCGCTTCGCCGGCCGCGGCGCGCCCTCCGCGGGCTCGAAGAGCTGCCAGCGAGCCTCCCCCCGTGCTTTCGATTGGGCGCTGGCTATGCACAGAAGAGAGATGTAGAGATGGGGAGAGGGGGAGGAAAAGTTCAGGGGGGGGGGGGGCATCATCTCCCAGCGCAAAAAAAAAACAAACACACTTCCCAGCCTGGCCTCCATGACAAAGATGCCGAGCCTCTGCACTTTCAGTCACGGGCGCTTCCGGCGCGTCTCGGGCCTCGGGGCGTACTGGCCGCTGGCAACTTTTCGTGCTGATGGGGAGGCCGGGCAGTGGTTGCAAAATGCAACGGCACGGTTTACCACGATTCTCGTGGCTAACAGCCGTTCTCTGCAGCAGTGCGCTGTGCATCACTGCACACTTCGCTTCAAGTCCGATCTGAGGCTCCACACTGCGCTTGCGACGCGGCATCCATCTGCATGACCGCCCAGCTTTCGCTAGCCGAAAGAACCCTTGAACCAAGTCCCACGGCGATGGGTTCCACAAGGTTCGAATGCGGCTGAGGTCGGCCCAAACTGCACCGATCAGACACTTCAAACTTCAAAAGAACACACTTCTGCAAGGCTATCCCCTAAGAGCGCTTGACTTCTCGAATTTGAAGATAGGGGAGTGTTTCCGACAAGCATGAAATGAACAAGAACGCGTGCAAAATCTGCGCTCTCACTGGATTCATGAGCGTGTGCAGCTATAGGGCTTCCTTCACTTGCGGAAGTGCGTGTATTGAAGGCCTGCATTGCAGGTGGCACCGACTTCAGTTGCCTCTCGTTCTTTCTGCTTCAATTTCTCCGTCAGCAACCTTCGCAAGTGTGCAAACAAGCCAAGAACAGACACAGCAAGAATGTCCAAGAGCGTAAAAAACGATGACCATGGCACGGACCCTTCTTTTCCTCTTGCCTCTGCTAGTCACAGGAGTGGCGGCACAGCCCACAGACAAGTCCACATAAAGTCTACTATTGTCTGTACAGTGTGTACCGCACCGACAAGCAGTATGACCACGTATGCTCGAAAACATGCTTCTGTACAGCTCTCGTGGTCTCTCCTATGTCGCAAAAGCAAGGGCGTGGTCCGAGTGCATGTTTCACGCACCTTCTCGCGATCAGGCTAGTCATCCACGCGGGCAGCATCCGATCCACGGTGCAGGGAGTTCAACGTGCCAAGGTCTAGAGTCTATGAGCCATATGCTTTCTAGGCCAATGAAAGTAAGGGAGCTCCGGGGTTGTGCAGGATTTTACAGAGTTTTTTGTTTACTACTTCCAAGGAATTGTCTCAACAGGGTTGTTGAAAAGATGTGCAGGGTTACGTGCCGTCGACGAACATTCGGCAACTCTTTAGCGTTAAAGCCCTTTCCTTGCAATGAAGGTAATGGCTGCAATGCTGAATGCAGAACGAAGCCCACCAAACAGTTCTGAAGTCGCCAATAGCGTCACGTCAAAATCAACTCCGAACCTGTGGCTTGATATCAGAATCCCACTCCTGTGCCTACAGGCCTACAGGCTCGAACCCCGATCGCTCGGTGGCGCAGCAAGACGAAACCAAGGCGATGGTGGTTGCGCTCCCTTTTTGCTCTATCAAGTCCTCGCCGGCTCTGGAGAGCAGCTGCTGATGGATGTCCTGCGCTGCGTGTCAACAGTGTGCTGCACAATGCGGTGTCGGAGTGTTTCTTGGCGCTCTTCCCCTGGCTCTGTATCACAAGTGCTGCTCTCACCTTGCTATGTGACCGGTCTCGCTCGCTAAGAGCCAAGCTTGGACCAAAAGCTGCAAGCCCAAAAACCGACTCAACATGGCATCAGGCAGCATCTAGGCACTCACCTGCAACAGGCGATCGAAATCGTAAAGTTGCTTGACGCTAGTTACGAGCCGTCGACGAGCGTTCTGCAACTCTTCAGCATTAAAGCCCCCTTCTTGCAATTTCGGATGAAGGTAATGGCTGCAATATGCTGCAATGCTAAATGCAGTACGGAAGCCCACCAAAAAGCTCTTAGTTGACTCTTGCCACAAATCGCAAATAGCGTCACGTCAAAAGCGAACTGTGAACCTCCGGCTTGATAGCAGAGTCTCACTCTCCTGTGCCTACAGGCTTACAGGCTCGAATCCCGGGTTTCGCTCCCGTTTTTGTTCTATCAAGTCCTCGCCGGCTGTGGAGAGCAGCCGCTGATGGATGTCCTGTGCTACGTTTCTTCCCATCGGAGAAGGCATGGACACCGACGATGCATCAGGGCTGAGAACTTTGCCCGTGCATGGCATCAAACAGTATGGTGTAGCAGGAAAGATGACGAAAAAATGACGTTGCACAACCATGCAGCCCACAGAACCAACGTGCAGCCAGGCTTCAAACAACGTCCCGTTCCTCGGCAGGACATAATCGGCAGCTGCCTCAGACATCGTGCAAGACAGACTAGGGGGTTCTCGACAACTAGTGCCTTAGACGAGCGCACGTGCCAAAGTCATGCACTGCGAGGCCTTGCCTGAGATCCTAGATCCTAGCATCTTCAAACACCAGTGCTTGGTCCTGCTTATTCCAAGGGAAAACGATCTTGCTCCAGAGGACGGATCTCCGCATGCTCGAAGTCAAGAAGCCACGGAACGCTGCGGGAGGGGGGTGCTGAAACAATCGCGCCAACCCAGGGGGAAGGTTCGGGAGGGCGAAAACCCCCCCGAAGCCCCTTTTTAAACAACCCTCTCCTTACAACTTGTACAACCCAAACAAGTGCCCTTTTTTGCACCCCTTCTGAAGGCCCGGCCCGCAGTCGACCAGGCAAGCCTCCGCAAAGCCTGAGAGGCGACGTGGCATTTCTGCGAGGGGGGCGCTTGCAGCCACCGCACTCTAAGGGTAGTTATACGGGCGCTGAATATGAGGGCAAAGTCAGGGGGGTATTTTGGAAGTCCCCTTTTAAGCATACTAAGGGACCATGGAACTACCCTGAGACGCACGTGCCGGGCAGTCGAAAGACCTGTAGCTACCTGGTGGGGCTTGCCTTCACAATGAGCGGAGACGAGGGCCCAAATGACTCTTCATTCCTCCTGCTGGGAACATGCTTTCTTCTTGGGCTTGGTCTGACAGGTTGGGCGGGACAGCTTGTGCCATCTCAGTGTCGCACGAGAGTACTGGATGGCTGGCGAGCTGTTGCAATACCATGCCTGCCACAGTAAGCACTTGAGCACTTAAAGGCAACATCTCACGTATAACGTCCATGAGTATGACGTCCCTGATTGCGCCTCGGTTCTGAGCCGTCATGATCAGCGGAAGGAGAGAAGGAGGACCCTGCACAGGGCAGCGGCATAGTGAACTTGCAGCGCGTAATTCGGCTCAAACATGTCTGCTATGAAGCCATAAGGCATTGCGAGAAGAGGTGCCAAACCAGGTCTGCAACCAGACCTTGTAACGGCAATTTAAGCTTGAAGAGTAGTAAAGCTGCGCATAATCGTGCCTACCGCACGGGCCCTGCAGTAGGAACCCTGAGTGAGGCGCGAACCCAACCTCTTAGGGGCATTGGAGGCTCCAACTCAGGTATCAACTCTTGCACTGGACGGCGTTGCAGCCCGAACCCCCTCTCTATCTGGTGGGGCGTCCATCATCGCAGGCCAGCCTGTTCACCACCGCTCATGGCCTGCAGTTGCAGATAGCTTGTCGAATCTATGGTGTCAGCTCCCTTTGAGACGTGATCCTCAGCCAAGGATAGTTGGAGTCACGCGTCGCCCTGAAGCATGGAACAGGGCCCCTGTTGCAGTTCCCCCCGGATTCCCTGAAGCCACGGCGCTCCTGGGAGAAGTCGGACATCACCAGGGGCCTGTGGACCCTCCACCTCACGGGATCGCGGTGATGTTCGCGAATAGGCTCTCTCCGTGCCTACGGATCGAGTCATTCAGTCTATGGGCCCATCTGTGCGTAAGGGGTAAAAATGGTATAGCTTCCTCTCTTTGGGTTTGGGCCATGGATAACATGAAGCTTCCCGGGCTCCCGGGCAGAAATAGCCGCGCCGCCTGGGCAACGAAGATGATGGGATGAAGGGGGTCATCTCAACATCCCCCGAAGCCTCAAAACCTTTAGCTGGTATGGAATCAGCGCCCGCTCAAACCTTTGGGCCTTCCGAGTCAGGAAGGTGTTCCCGAACCAAAAGCTTCAAGCATTTAGGACGCTCGACAGGCCATCGCGCCAGACGCCGCATCCCATGCAGCCCTGCCATAACCTAAGGGCCACAACCCCGATCACAGAGTGAAAGGTGTTCGACACCAGCGCTAAGGCACGAAGCTCTGAAGCATAGTTTCGAGAATCTGTGTGAATCAACATTGTCCATTCGTCATCTTGTGGTTTCTACGCCCTACATCTTGCAGAGGTTACATTTTTTCCCCTGCAGAAGCCACCCCCAGCCTCGCTGGCTTTGAGTGGCTCCAGGGAGTACGCCACCACCTTCTTCCGAGAGGCTTGGATTTCGGCTAGGGGCTTTGAGTTCCCCAACAAAAAGGGGAACCGCCGTCTCCCCAAAATCTCAACATATGCCGTGCCGAATGCTTTGCCAACAGCAGGTCGGAGCTCATTGAGGACTGGTTGGTTGTCTGAGTTTTTAGCCCCGTTCTTCACTTCGAAAGTCCGGTCTCTGCGCCCTCAGCTCTGGAGCCTTGACCCCGAAACCTCCTCAAACCATCCTCAAGAAATATATGCAGAGTCACGAAACAGTTGCAAGGATGGCACACACGGCTGGCCGCGGCCTTGTGCGCCCCCAGCGCCCGAAAAGGCGCCTCCAAGGTTCACACTCTCACCCCACCTGGTCCTCTGCTCATTCAAGGCTTCTTGGGGGCTTAAGGATGTTTAGGGATGTTTAGGGGTGTGATTCTTTCAGCTGTTGTTGCTTTGGGTTTTGGGGGCTGTGCCTGGTGCTCCGCGTGCCGAGTATTATCCCTTTCCGGGGCCGGGGTTCTCGGGGCTTGGCTCGCTGGCACAGTGGCACCCTGCTCCATCTCGAGAGTTAGCCAAGCTTGGAGACAGCACGCCATGCCGAGACTAGGGGCTTTTCGGCGACAAGAGCGGCGAGGACATGGAGCACAGGGCTCCATGTCATCTCCCACCCCTCGCGGAAGGGATTCCGGGACTCCCTTCTTTTGTTTAAGGGCTCGTGGGAGAAAGTGCCTGCGGCAGGAGCGGTTGGAGATTGTTGGAAGTCACTCCCTTTCGAGCTCCCTCGAGTGACATGCAGACAGCACCTTCTGGGAGTCACACCTCAAGCAACAGCGCACCGCCTTTTCCTGAAACCTGAACACCTCCACGACAGCAAAAACAACAAAAATGCCCTCGCACACGTTTAACAGTGCATGATCAACAACAAAGCTTGAACCCTCCTGCCAAGAACAAACCCGCAAGCACCACTTGGCAGTAGCAGCCGAAAGGGGGCCTCGCGGGCGCCCAGGAAGATCTCGAGGCGCTCCGTGCGGAGCAGCAGCTCCGTCAGGACCTTCCTGGGGTGCCTTCTCTCAGAAGGAGCGCTTGTGCACAGTTTGGGGTTGGAAGGTCCGCATAAGGGCTTATGGGGTTTCCATGACTTTCTATATGGTTCATAGGGCTTCATGGCAGAGGTTAAGGGTTTTGCACACGGCAAGCAAGGCGACTGTCGGAAGGTCTGTCCAGAGAATCGTCTATCAGGCCAGGGGCAAGGAGCCATCAGCAAGCTCAAACACACCACACATGCATAGCCATATGTGAGCTCACATTGCCCGTAAAGAGTTAGATGCTTATAGCAGCCGAGCAGGCCATGCTAATCGACTCACTACTGAAGGTGGGTACACAGGTCGCTACACAAGCCACTCAACTTTGGCCCCAAATGAAATCCGCTGCCGATTCTGTGTCTAAGAGTCTGAGGTCTTCGCGAAGAGCGCATACTTCCCTCTCCCCCCTTCCCCCTTCCCCCGAGAGGGTGCCTCAGCTCCTCTGCACCTTCCGCGCTGGCCATGATGGGGTCCTTGCATCGAAGTAACTAAAGCATCAACGCTTGAAAGGATCGGTCTCAAGTCTCAAAAGTGCACTTTTGTGCTGTTCAAGGCCATGGCTTCTTCGCCCCCTCCCCCGCCCCGGTCCAGGTCGTCCAAGGCCAGGAGGACGGGCGCCCGAGTGGCTTCCAGCCGCTGAACGCGCTGGACGATTTGACCTCGGCCAAGTGACCAGGGCTGAACGCTCTCCCCAGTATCCTTCTTCTTCTTCTGCACACAAGCCTGTATCATTCCCTCTCTCTCGCTCTCTCTCTCTCTCTCTCTCTCTCTCTCTCTCTCTCTCTCTCTTCTTCTTCTTCTTCTACAGGGCTTGAGGGACCCAGGGGCCCCTCTCTCGCTCTCTCTCTCTCTCTTTCTCTCTGCCCTGCCATCCCCGATGGTCTCGCTATGCAAGGGCATGAAAAGCCGGCTAGGATGTCAGGAGGCGCAGTGTGACGCACCAACCTCCTTCATTCTTCTAGTCCAATTCATGGGGCCCATTCGACATGAACTGACTTCCTCCTGTATCATAACAAAGAGCTCCTTTCTTTATTTGCACGCCAGGGTGCCTGGCTTAGTTGTTTTTTTAATCTGGCTCCGAGGGCTTGCTCAGTAGGGTTGGCAAGCAATCACTTTGGGAGGGCCTCCGGCACACTTCTTCGGGCCCCTTCGCGCGGCAAGGGCCCTCAACCAGCCCATCAATCCCAAATGGCCAAAACCCGTGTGTGCGACATCTCCCTCTGGAGGCTTCCGAGGCCTGGGCTCCGCAAGATGCGGGCCTGCACTCGAGCAGGAGTCAAGCAGTGGACACGCGCGCCGCGCGCGATGTGTCCAATATGGTGGCGGCAACAAGGGTGGGCCGAGGCTAACGACAAGCGATTTGCCAAATCTGAAAGTTGGGGTTGCCCCTCCCATCAAGGTTGCGTGACTGAAGTAAGAACGAGGCCTGTTCTGCCCAGGACTGGCAGAACTGAAAAGTCAGGGCGAGCTACAACTCATCTTGGGGTCCCCTTATAGATGCCTGACACCTTGCACCCCCATCTCAGAAGGACCTTCGGAAGGGATTCTCGTGTAGAAGTCCCGAAAGTCGAAACACCTACGCGTTCTTCGCTCCGCCTCGCTGTGACTTGAGATGCTCATGGAGGACAAGGACGCAAACGCCTCGTCCTCACAGATGCTTAGGGCAAAGCTGTGTCAACTTCTGCGCCTTCTGCAGAGGGCAAGGTTTGGGCATGGATCCAACCTCATGTAGTCGCAGGGTCCCAGCCTCTGATTGCTCCATGGAAGTCATGAAGAAACCGTCCGTCTCCATCTGCGCCAGGTCAAGCGAGTGAGGACTTCAAGTGCCAGCCATGGGACTCCTAGAAACGGGGGACCCAGGACCCAACAACTAGGTGACAGATCGGAAGTGTTCGGAAGTTCTATGCCGCACTCGTACTCTATGCTTTCTGGACCTGAACATGGCCACATCAGCCGGCACTAGTCGCCATCTTCCTGGCTCGCAATCCTTGAGGTGTTCCCCTTCAATCCCCGAATAGATGCAGCAAAGCGGTCCCCTGCTTTGTATACACTTGACCTCGGGATTCAGGGGCGGTGTCACAGGTCAAAGCGCCGAAGTGAAGTTGAATCCTTGCTGAATCTCGAGTGCAGCTGTTGCCGTATATTTTCTGGCGGTGCGTTGCGCGGTTGGTTCGAGTTCTTGAAGATAGGGGAGGACTTACAACAAGGCAGAAGCCTCTCACCTGGGGGGTTCACAGCTGGGTGCTTGAACCATAGGCATGTTGAGGAACCCACCTCGCTCGCGGGACGCACTCCAAGAGCCAATTTTTTCGGAGCAGCGCCAGCACCGATGCCTCGGGCTTTGAAGATCGGTGGGCGGACTTTCTTCCGGAGAGCGCCCCGAAGGTTCTCAAACGAGCCAGGAATATGTCTATATATATGGTTCAGCGTCGAGCGTCCTGGGCCCCCCCCCCCCATGCCCCCCCCCCCCCCCAAGTACTCCCCGGTCCCTACTCTAAAACCCTATAAACCCTAAACCCTAAACCCCTAAACCCTAAACCCTAAACCCTAAACCCTAAAACCTAAACCCTAACCCTAAACCCTAAACCTTAAGTCTTAAACCTTAAACCCTAAACCCTAAAACCCTGAACCCTAAACCCTAACCCTAAAACCAACCCCCAACCACACCACAGGGGGGGGGGATCATCTTAGTACCCCATCCGCGGGGAAAACCCTAAACCCTAAACCCTAAAACCCTAAACCCTAAACCCTAAACCCTAAACCCTAAAACCCTAAAACCCTAAAACCCTAAACCCTAAACCCTAAAACCCTAAAACCCTAAAACCCCCCAACCACACCACAGGGGGGGGGGGGTACCATTGGGGGGGGGGGGGGGCCCGCCGGGGCTGAATCATATATATACATGTGCATATGTATAAATATAAATATAAATATACATACATATATATTATAATCATAATAAAAATAATCAAAAAAAAGATAATCATAATAATCTACAACAATTCTTTGCACTCCATGGGAGCAGGACTCGGCATGTAGGACCCCCTTGTAGGAGTGGCAGCTCTCAACACACCGCATGCCACAAAGTAACCGGCGTTTAAGGCCAGGCTAAAGCCAGCGGCGTCATTGCACCCGTTGGTGGCTTTCAAGCTCCAAGATGGTGGCTGCGCCCATCCCAAGGCCGCAGCTTCCTCATGCGGCTCAGATACCTCTCACGGGTGGCCAAGGCAGTGTTCTGACAAGACAACCGCCTGGACCGATTGTTCTCCCTTCTTCGGAAAGGTTTGCGGCCTGGAGGTATTGCTACTTTCACTGGCTGTGGGTTTATATAGTATATAGCTCGACCTTTTAGAGCCTTTTTGCTGACCGCGTTGTGCCACCCCAGCTCCCTACTCGGCTCGAGTCAGATAGGCGTATGGGTGTAGGTTTGGCAGGGCGAAAAGATCATGCCAAAGGCCTTTCCATGTTCAACGTGCACCTGCTACAGGCCACTCTCCCGGGTTCCTCCACCAGCTACAGAATGAAGAGCCATGCATGACATCCTATTTCGCCTGAGCACCATACTCCGGAGGTTTTGCCTCACCCTGGATCCTGGCTAAACCTGCTCACAAGTCGCGCCCAGCCTCCCCCGCAGCCGTGCTAACGTACACGGCCTCGGAAGGGCACTGTGCATGGGTTTGACTAAGGCCGTGTTGTGGCTTCAAGCCCTCATAGAGGATCGCAGGCCATGGGACTCGGAACGTTTTCCGAGAAAAACACTCTTTCGGGCAAAGAAGTATGCATGATTGCCAACGATGTGCGAGTTGCCATCTGTAGGCCTTCATGGCCCGGCCCTAAGAACTTTTCAAGGACTCCAGAAGCCCCCATAAGGACCACAGAACGCGTGCCCTCAAGGCTCCAGCTCGCCCATCAAAGCGACGTCCGAGAGCACCGAGGAAGCGGCAAAGTTCACCTGGGGCCCCACTATGGCCGACTGCTTTTTTGATTTTTTTGTTTTGTTTTTTTGGGGGGGGCTTGATCTGTTAGGGTTAAGTCACAGGCATGGGATTCGACGGCTCAGGGTTGTTCAGATGAATGGTCGGGATGCAGAGTTTGGAATTCAACTCTGACAAATGGCAAGTTGACCTGAAATACGTCGACGCATGTACACCTGGAATGTACTCTTGGACTACTCATGACTACTCCACCTCAGGAAGTATGATCCTGCTGAGTCCAGCGCAAAGAAGTGCCGATTTCCAACCTGGCACAAGATGAGGATGGGGGCATTTACGCAACACATCTGCATCCCAACGAATCTGGCGCCGCTTTTGACGAGGGTAGGTGTCGATGAGCATGAGATTCGCTACAGGAGAAAAGCCTCAACAGAGCCCTTGGCTCCTGATGGTGCGGCTCTCTGCCATTATCAGAGGCCCAAAATCTCATGCTTTTTCATCGTTGTATAGTGGACTAGATAAATTTATCAAACAAGGTATCGCAATTATAAGTTACATGAATATACGCGTTGAGGAGAGCCTGAGCTGGGCCGAAGATGGCGGCGCAGCGACGCTGCGATCGCTGTGACAGCAACCACAAGTCGCGGCCTCTGCTGTGAAGTAAACGAGTCGATTAGTTCCGGGGGGGGGGGGTTCTAACCGCAACCTAACCCCCCCATCCCAACTGCCTCAACAGCTTGCTGCCATTTCCGAGCTTTGTGCCAAGCCCAAAGTGAGGTGCGGACGAAGCGGCCGCTCGCAATCCCTAAACCCTAGAATCGGTTCGGAGCTCTGGCCTATGCAAAACATGGTCATCATGAGGCTGGATGTGGCTGGCATACTTACCTTTCACAGGGCAAGTGCTTTATGCAGCTTGCCTCTATGCATGCAGAGACGATCGATGAAGACAACGTGGGAAACAAAGCACCACAAGTCCTAAGCCCAGACAACCTGCCTCTACAGTAAACCCCTAAAACCCTCACCCCCAAAAAACCCTAGATCCTAAACCGTGCCCCCGCCCCCCCTTATTCGGCATCACGAGAATACGGCGCTCATAGACGAAGAATGACTAAGGCCCCGGCTTCGTTCGCAAAAGTCCTGTTTTCATCACAGCGCATGGCTGTGATGTATTGGCTCTTAGTGATGAATTTAAAGTCCCACAGAATCCCTTCAAGAGCTCTAAGAACTACCATGTGAAGCCTCTATGAGTAATGATTGGGAGGGCACTGACAAAAGTGGTGTCATTGAAAAATATTTCGGGTTTTTTCAACAAAAAAACAGTGGCACTGTTCTGGAAATCGAATTTAAAACTCTGGTTTGTTTTCATTAATCAAACTTCAAACAAATCAATCAAACAACTGAAAATGCGCGGGCTGTGCTGCAAAACAACAGCAGCAGGCCAGCCTGATCTCGAAAGTGCAAACTCACCCCAAAATCCCAAAAGGACCCAAACCTGCTGTCTTTAAGAACTCGAGGGGAACCTACATGTTGGGGATTGTTGATTGTTGGACCAATGCCATCGGCGCTTCTGCGATACAGGGACGTTGCACGTGGCTCTGACGTGTTCCTTCCCTGTGCCAAAGGCTATCCTTGCTGCTGAGGCCTTCTGATCCCTCCGCTGATCACCCGGATTTAAGGTCCCAAATCTAAGAAGGCAATGAATGAACGGAAGACGCAGTTGCAAATCCCATGAACCACTGGTGTAGGAGACAGCGCCAGCGATCTGACTCTAGACTACCCAAACCTTTGGGACTTAGAGTGCTCTAATCACACATGGTCCAAGGGTGAAGTACGCGCACAAGCACTAGCCAATCGTCTTGGAACCCCAGCGCCCCAAAAGGAGATGCCTCCGTGAACGAGCATGTCTCCTTCTTTGTCCCTCCCCTTAAAAATGGGCTTGAGACACCCACATACACATATCAATCTATGTCTTTATATATGGCATACATACATCTATGGATTTTTTCTCTCCATCTCTATCTCTTGCTCTTTCTGTATGTATATATATATAGATAGAGATTCTACATTTATGTATCATTTATACATACACCCCTTCTAGGCCAAGAATAAAGTCCTTAAGTTTACTTCGGTTTTTAAGGCGCTTGGGCAAACTTAGAGAGCGGGAGCTGCTAAGCATGTGTAGGTGCTTTTTGTATGCTAATCAAGCAAAAGCAACAGCTCAGCGAGGCATTGGCTGCTTCTGCGCACCAGCTTTTTCCATTGGGTTTGGGCTCGGATTCTACCTGGCAACCAGCTGCCTTAACATTGAATGGTAGGATTGTCAAACTCTTTGCCATCTCATTGAAGGGGTGAAGATCCCGCAAAAGTCCAAGTCATGACTCCCAGGCACGAGCGCACCTTTTTGACCTTGCGTGGGGCGCCCAAGGCCTTTCTGCAAGGCTGTTTGGCGCTGACTCTATGGCTTCACATGGGGTAGAACGTGCACGAACACAAGATCCTATGGAAACAGGCAATGTGCAAGTTTGTGTTTGGTTATGATTCTGATGATGATATTGAAGATGAAAATTTTTGGCAAGATTTGCTTAAAAGACCATTTTTTAATTTATGGAAAAATGAAGTGGATAAAGATGGTCAACGTGTTTACCGTAACAGGGTATGTGTTTTAATGCTTTTTTCTTTAGTTGTTTATTCTTTGTTTATTCGTAGGTTAGATTGCAATTTAGATTAGTGCCGAAGACTTGGCGCTTGTGGCTGCTGTGCCTGACAGGAAGCTGTCTCCATTACGAGCGGCTCCACAAGAACATTTTCGGAAAACCGCGCAGCAAACTAACCACACACACACACACACACACACACACAC